ATTGCAGTTTGCTGAGAAGAAATTCTGATAGAAACCCAAATAGTGTCCCACTAGGGAGCAAAAATCAGGGGCTTTTAAAGGTAAAGAAGGGAAATTGAATACAAAGAATTTTAACTGGAGTTGGAGGCAGCGAACTAGGCTTGGCTAAACATTGATTGATTCTATCTTGAGAAAGTTCACAATCCTCAGTCTTTTTGATCAGGGTGTCTGTTCACCTGCTAACCTCTCAAACAATTGCTTCTCTAAAACAGTTTCCGGTTTGCCCCAGTCCAAGGTTCAAGACAGCAAGGCAGTTTCTTTGGAAGGCACCTATGACTCCATTTTCAAATGGCTCTGCTATAGTCAGTTTTGACAAACCAAACATGCATACTCTTCTTCAAAGCCATTGAAGATGTATCAATGCAAAGAAATCTTTAAAAAAAGCAAACAAAACTGAACTCTAGAGGGACAAACCCTTCCTAGGTGATCAAATGATGTAGGGTGCTTTCATATCTGAGGCCAGATGCTGAGATTGGGGGTAAGGCTGTCAGAGAAGTGAGCCTGTATCAGGACAATCCTTGCTTGGTTGAGAAGAAACCAGCCAAACTTTTGGATGAGGAGAAACCAGCCAGACTTGTTTCATATTTGAATCTGAAAGAACCCCAAATGCAAAGATAATCTTCTCTACCCAGTAATTCTCCCATGTGGAAGTTTTGTTGAGATTTGGGGCAGGCTAAAAAGTGAAAAGAGATCTTTTGATTTTGCAGTTTTATGTCATCACCATTTTGAAGTCTCAGAATCTTGAAGGCTTGCAGTCTCATGCCTCTGTGGTCTGAGGTGCTGTCGTTTTGTGGAGTCTTGCAGCCTTGAGGTCTTGCAGTCATGCTATTTCAAGGTCTAATGCAGGGATTGGCAAGCTTTTTCTTAAAAAGGCAGATAATAAATATTTCAGACTTGTGGGCCATATGGCTCTGTCACAATTACTCAACTCTGCCATTGTGACACACTAGCAGCCATAAACTATATGTAAGTAAATGGCATGACTGTGTTCTAATAAAATATTACATATATAAAGATGTATGCAGGCTTCACGCTTGAGTTAGGGACTCATAATTTCAAAAACTAGCTCTCCTGAATAGAAATCTGAACTCAACTTTCAAATAACCAAAGCTGCAACCAAACTTCCATCCAAAATCTGATATGATCAATGATGTCAGCCCCATAGGAGTTAAGGACTAGGCATTTCCTGTCTTTGTCATTTCTTTGTGTGGATATTGATTTCCATCTGGTATCACTTTATTCAGTCTGAAGAATGTCCTTTAATATTCCTTTCAAAAGATGCAGTTCTGCTATTGATAAATTCTTTGAGCCTTTGTTTATCCAAAGCATTTTTCATTTTGCCTTTATTTTTGAAGGATAGTTTCATAGGATATAGAACTAGAGATTAACAGGGTTTTTTTTTCTTTCAACACTTTTTTCTCCATTGTCTTCTGGCTCGCATGTTTCTGAAGAGAAATCATTGCTTATCTCTTAGTTCTACTGTTTGTAATGTATTTTTTTCTCCCTTCTCTTGTTGCTTTTAAGATTTTCTTTTTATCAACTATTTATTTGTGACTTGCTTTGGTTTGGTTTTCTTTTGAATTTTTCTTGCACAGGGTTCATTGTTTGTCTGGGAAAGATTTACTTTCTCCCTCATATCTGAAGGATATTACTGCTGGGTAGAGTATTTTTGGCTGAAGATTGTTATCTTTTAAAGTTTTGAATATGTCATTCCATTCTCTCCTAGCTTGTAAGGTTTCTTCAGAGAAGTCTGCTGAAAGTCTGATATGGGTTCCTTTGCGGGTTATTTTCTTCTACCTTACTGCCCTGAGTATTTTTTCTTTGTCATTCATTTTTTCCAGTTTTACTACTATATGCCTTCCAGTAGGTCTTTTTACATTGACAAATGTAGGAGATCTGAGAGCTTCCTCCACACACATTTCCCTCTCATACCTTGATTTGGGAAATTCTCTGCTATTATTTCTTTGAGCACACTTTCTGCTCCATTCTCCTTCTCTTCACCTTCTTGAATACCTGTAATTCTTATGTTGCATTTCCTCATTGAGTCAGATATCTCTCAGAGACTTTCTTCATTTCTTTTTAGTCTCAATTCTCTCTCCTCCTCTGTCTGGAGCAATTCAACATGTCTATCTTCGATTATGCTCATTCCCTCCTCTATGATGTCCACCCAAGTATTCAGGGAATCTGTATTTTGTTTTATCTCTTCCATTGTGTCTTTCATCTCTAGTATTTCTGATTGATTCTTCTTTATAGTTTCAATCTCTTTTGTGAAGTAGCTCCTGAACTAGTTGAACTGTCTCTCTATATTCTCTTTTACCTCCTTGAGTTTTTTGACGATAGCTATTTTGAATTCATCGTCGTTTAGTTTACGTATTTCTGAGTCCTCAAGACTGAATTCTGGGTATTTATTTTTTCTCTGTTCTGGAGATTTGATGCATTGTCTGATGCTGGAGGAACAGGTTTTCCCCATTGTGATATTATTCGGTTCCTATTACAGCCTATTGCCACTGGATGGGAGTCAAGAGCCATGTATTGTGAGCCCTCCACCTTCAGCTGAGATGGCATGGTGCAGCGTGGCACAGGTGGTGGGGGTTGGGGGGGCACTTTCTCCTGCATGTAGTGCCCCATTTCCCATTCAGCTCTTGCTACTGCTATCTGGTCTCCTGGGGTCTTGGCTTGATGAGATCACCCCATGTGAAAGCTTTTGCCCTGTTAGAGGGCTTCCCTCTAGGCTGCAAGGGCCCTAGGGAGTCCTGGGCGAATCCCATGGACGGAAGGCCCCTCCAGTGCTCCTTCCCTCACAGAGCCTCTTGCTGCCACTATCCCAGACTTTAGGGGAGGGAGCGAAGTTCTCTCTTACCCGGTTCCAGCTCCTCCAAGGGGGGTGCCAGCCTCTCCACCCTCCGTTGTTTGGCTGCTATGATTCTCCAAGGATTCCTGTGCTATTAGGATATTTTCTGTTGGAATATGGTTGCTCCTTTTTGGTATACGTTGGAGGGGAGAGAGTCCCAGGCAAGAGTCACTCCACCATGATGCTGACGTCACTCTCTTGCATAGGGTTCATTGAACTTCTGAAACTGTAGAATTATAATTTTCATCAAATTTGGAAATTTTTAGCTATTATTGTTTCACATATTTTCTCCCTACCACTTTCTGGGACCCCAATAACATGTATGTTACAGTTTGATATTGTCTTGCAGGTCACTAAGATTCTAGTAATTTTTTCTGCCTGTTTTTTTCCTTATGCTTCCATTTGGATAGTTTGTGTTGCTCAGTCTTGAAGTTCAGTGACCTTTTTATAGTTTTAATTTATTTCCTCAATATGGTTGTAGTTTTCCGTAAAGTTTTGAGATATCTATAATAGATGTTTTAAAGCCTTGTCTGCTAATTCCATCATCTCTGTTATTTCTATGGCTTTTTCTACTGACTGATTTTTGTCCTGGTTTTGGATCACTTTTTCCTTCTTGTTTCATTTTTTTTTTTTGGATGCTAGACATTGTGAATGTTACATGGCTAATTGGATTCTGTTGTCTTCCTTTAAAAAAGTAAATTTGCTTTGTTGTGATAGGCAGTTACTTGTGGGTAAGCTTGATATTTTCAAGGAGTTTTTGCTTTTTCTTCTTCTTCTCCCCAAAGCCCCCCAGTACATAGTTGTATATTCTAGTTGTAGGTCCTTCTGGTTGTGCTGTGTGGGACGCTACCTCAGCATGGGCTGATGAGCTGTGCCATGTCTGCACCCAGGATCCAAACTGGCAAAACCCTGGGCTGCCGAAGCAGAGCATGCAAACTTAACAACTTGGCCACAGGGCCAGCCCCTCAAAGATTTTTTTAAAAAGCTTTGTTGGGGCAAGTCTGGATTAGCCTTTACTCCAGAGTTAGTTTTTCTCCTACTAGTTAAGTGTAACCCACTGAGTCTATGAATGTCCCAGTGTTCAACAAGGTATCTCCACTCTGGCTGGTGAGAACTTAGGTATCTCCTAGCCCAGCCTCATGAATTTCACTCTGTGCATACTCAGCTTAGTATTCTGCCAAAAACTCAACAAGACTCTTGTGCAGATTTCTTGAGCTCTTTTCTTTGCACAACTCTTTCCTCTCTAGCATTTTTCCTTGCAAATTTCAGCTACTGAACCTCCCTGAACTACAGCTTCCCATCTTAACTCAGTGAAACCTCACTGCCTAGGTTCCTCCTCCCTTGCTGAAATCTAGAAAGTGACTACAGGCAGAAAGCTAGGGCAGTGGAAGGACTCACCTTGTTTGCTTTCTAAATCTTGACTTTAGTTCCTTGGAGGAAAAAAAAAAAAAAGAATATAATCATGGTTGGAGCTTATCTGTGATTTTTTAACCTATCTTCTGATGAATGAGGAGAGAAAGATGTTCATGTTTTTGTGATGTCCCTTTTACTTGTCACATTGTTAATCCTACTCTACCTCCTCTGTCATTTATTGACTTTGTTACTTATAACATGTTTTATCATTTTCTTTTTCATTTATTTAATAAGTATTGAATGTGTTAGTAGTTACTATATTGACAGGATGAATCAGGCATGGATCCTGCTATTAGGATATTTACAGTGTAGCCTGGAGAGAATATGCATATAGAATCTTTAAATCCAAGATAGAGATTGAAAATTACCCAAACTGAATACAGATAAAAGTGATATGGGAAGCTAAAAACTAATGTCTCAAGTGTTTATTATCTTTGGATTTAAGCAGCCTACTTAATGAGAATTTACAAAATTTTTCCTGATTTTAAACCCTCTTTTATGTTAGTTTGAATTTAATTTTCCTGCCATTTTAGATATAATATATTTGTCGTTCAGAGATTTGTTTTAGGTAATGATTATTTTTAGTAGTTGAGTTAGAAAGTTAAAATATATCCCTGGAAGTTACATTATCAGGATGGACTAACTCTCCACAAGGGAAATCTGAGGTTTTTATAATCTTGTTTGATTTGACTCTCAGTGGAAGAATCAGACATCATTGATCTGGAGAAACGCTATTGGTTGCTGAAGGCTCAATCCCGGACTGGACGATTTGATTTAGAGACATTTGGCCCGTTGGTTTCACCACCTATTCGTCCATCTCTAAGTGAAGGTAGGAGTCATTCTATTTTCAACTAATGTTCTTTGGTAAGGGCCCACCCAGTGGCTCAGTGTTTGAGTTCACGCACTCCACTTTGGCAGCCCGGGGTTCACAGGTTCAGATCCCAGACCTATGCATGACTTATCAAGCCATGCCATGGCAGGCATCCCACATATAAAGTGGAGGAAGATGGGCACAGATGTTAGCTCAGGGCCAGTCCTCCTCAGCGCAAAGAGGATTGGTGGCAGATGTTGGCTCAGGGCTAATCCTCCTCAAAAAAAATAAAAATACAAGAAAAAATGCAAATGTTCTTGGTAAACACACAGAGCCCATCTCTAATTTCTAAGCAATATGTTTTAACTCCAAAGGGAATTAATGTTACAGATTTGTAAGTTTCTTGAAAATAGCGTAGTCTACTGGAAAAAACTAAAATTGGAATTAAGTTTGTAGTCTTGAGCTTCCTATTCTAACTATGTAACCTTGCATAAATCAGTTTAGTTCTCTGCACCTGAATATCCTCATGTATAAAATGAATTTGACCCAGTCAGTTATTATAAAACTGTACTCCAATGAGGGGCCTCAGCAGCTGGTGCAGGAAAGAGTGGTGGCCACTGGATGGGCAGAGGTCCAGGTTTCCACACATAATCCCACCTCTTCCTCAGCTCAAGTACCTCTACTTTATTTCTTTTACATAAGGAAGTTCCACTTCTGTATCCATCTCCTCCCAAAAATGATTAAGAAACTATTAGACCATACCATCTTTGAGGTCCCTGCTAGCCCTAAACTTCTCATTGCTATGACTTTATTTTTAAGTTAGGAATACAAAGAGTAATTGTGGGTGATATCACAAAAACTGTATTTGGAATCTGAATACTTGGGTTCTGCTGCGGGTTCTGACGTTTTTTAACTTTTATTTTTGGCAAATCACTTAACCCCTTCTGAGCTTTAGTTTTCTACTCTTTAAACTGAGGGCACAGAATTAGATTCTTGAAATAGAAAATCTATATTCTTCAGATTCCTGGGGTACTTCAGAAGTACTTGTTAGGGGAGGCGAGCAGACAGGGCTCTGGGCTTCTACATACTTCAGCAGTGCAGTTGTATTTTTACTTTTTATTTTATTTTTATATATTTTTTATTACTTTCTTTTTGCTTGAGGAAGATTGGCCCTGAGCTAACATCTGTGCCAGTCTTCCTCCATTTTGTATGTGGGTTGCCACCATAGCATGGTTGATGACTGGTGTAGGTCCACCTGGGATCTGAGCCCAAAAACCTGGGCTGCTGACGCAAGAGTGTGCCAAAATTAACCACTACGCCATGGGGCTGACCCACTGTTTTTACTTTTTCAGAATTAGAGATTGATAAATCATGTCATTTGAAAATAAAATTATTCCATGTCTATTTTGCAAAACATTTGAAAACCACAAGATTAAATTTTAAAATACCCTTTTATTTCTGAAATTTAAAATATTAATTTATAAAGTATTAAGTAGTACAAAGAAGACTGCAGTATAGAATTTCATTCTGTTGTAATATAGTGTTTTATTTTTCTTTGCTTCATGAAAGAGCTTTATGGGAACTTATTAATAACACCATGGTATATCTTTTTGAGTATACAGTTCAACTTTTCTCCTTTTTTCCTTTTTATTCTCAATATGTCTAGGTAAGGATAATTGTAATTTCTGACCTTTTTTTCCTGGTTTTTAAATTTTTTAATTGATTTTTATTTTTTACATACTATAGTCATTTTTAGCTGTTAGAGTTGATATAAGAGACAGACAGGCAAACATAACCAAATACCACATGATAGTAATATATTTTCTGCTAGAATCTTAAGTTTTAGTTGTAATTATATCAGGAGAAAAAGAAATACTTCTTGAGATAGTGGCAACTACTGATAATCTTTTTTTTTTTTTAATTTGGCCAGTTTATGAGAAAGAGTCATGCCTCCTTTCATAAACATATTATTATTAACATTAAGAAGTTTGTTGACTATGATTTGTGGTGTCTTTTTCTATTTTACAGGTTTGTTTAATGCTTTTGATGAAAATCGTGACAATCACATAGATTTTAAGGAGATATCCTGTGGTTTATCAGCCTGTTGCAGAGGACCCCTGGCTGAAAGACAAAAGTGTAAGTGTCTTAAACATTTTCATAAAATTTGCAAACTGTACAGAGGACAAATTACTGTTCATTCACGTAAAATCATCTGTGGATTAAGGCTTGAATTTTCATCAGTTTGTCAGATTGGCAAATGCAGTCTCATGTTAAAGTTTTACTGAGTTAGTCTAATGGGTCAATCATCTGTTATTTTTACTGTGGAGTAGTTTGGGATCTTTGTTATTAATAATGGGGTTAATTTTCCTGATGAATTTGCAGTTTGTGATAAATGAACTACAGTCAGTTATGATGTATGTGAAAATGTTAAGCATTTAGAAAATATTTTCTGGTAGTCTCTACAGATAATTTTATGTCTTGCATAGTTTGAAGTACAACTCATTTTCTGTCGCTTCTATACATTAATATTTTATTAGCAAAATGAAATTTATCATCAAAACACAATTTTATTAAGTACTGAAATGGTCTTTTTAACCTAGCCAAAATGTTATTATAGCATAATGTATAAGTCTATTGTATTATTAAATCTTAACCATATTTGAGACAAATGAAGCGGTTTACATTTAATTGGAACCTAATTCTAACATATTTTCTAGGGTCATCATCTCTCTGTCTTTCTAAAATATAGCTTCACAGATGTTCCCTATTTTGGGTGTGCTATTTGATATTTTGACCTTTTTTAGTAATATTGTACTATAATGTACTATGTACTATGACTCAATTGATTAAATAGTATAATTCGGAGCTGGCCCTGCTGCACTTCCTCAACCCAGGGTTTCAGCAGTTCGGATCCTGGACGCAGTCCTAACACTGCTTGTCAAGCCGTGCTGAGGTGGCGTCCCACATAGCTCAACTAAAAGGACCTACAACTGGAATATACAACTATGTACTGGGGGGCTTTGGGAAGAATGAAAAAAATAAAATGAAAAATATATATAAATTGTGTAATTCTTATGAGGGTGTATGAAATAGGTAGGTTATTATTTAATCTTAAAAATTCAGATTTATTTTTTCTTCCCTGGTGATATACCATTAGTCCAACCTGGCTTTTTGATAGATTATTTGTTCCCATTAAAGTTATAATATTAAATAAGGAGGCTGAAATCTTTGTTTCTCAATTGAGGTTAATTATCGCCTTAAAAAATTTTTTTTCATTCCACTTTTTCTAGTGGACTAATGGAAGTTAATAAACTAGAGTGATTCATTTGGAGTTTGTTAGCAAAGTGCTGATATTTTTACTTCTTCACATACTGTATTTAAACTTCATTGAAGAGCTGAAATTGTTCTTTGGCGAAAAATGGAGTGTGCGTTAATCAGCTTGTTGTTGATTCCTAATGTAGATGGAATATTTTCAGCATTATAAGAATCAGCTCTGCTGATTTACTATTTAATATATATTTAATATATAATATATAATATTTAAATGTTAGAAATTAAGGGCTTGAGTTACCCCCTCAAAACCTGTGAGGTATTGTAATAGTTACTATATTGGCCCTTTTCTTTTGGTTTGCAAAGAATTTAACTCCAGGTTTAGGTGAAGGATAGGACTTTCCAACCTAGGTAATGATTTAGAGAGAGAGATGTATGAAGTTTGTGCTGGAAGACCTACAAGTTCAGAGGACTTTTAATGACATATAGTCTGCTCCAGATGAGATCTGAATCGAGAATGTACTTGCTTGAGAAACTAAGTAATTTTTCTAGGGCAGCTTTTAGTAAAATGTAGTATACTTTAGAATATAAAAGTAATTTCCTTCCATAAGAGTTTCTTTTCTTTAGTTTGCTTCAAGGTGTTTGATGTTGACCGTGATGGAGTTCTCTCCAGGACCGAACTGAGAGACATGGTGGTTGCACTTCTAGAGGTCTGGAAGGACAACCGTACTGATGATATCCCAGTAAGTTCTGATTGTGTACATCTTGTTGCGTGTAAACTTCCAAGAGGAAAATAGAGTGGAGAATTTTTAAAAAAGAAAGAGACAAAAGGATTTGTTATTACTTGTAGTTGCTATCTTATGCTGCCCAAAATATTCATAGCTGAAGGTACAAAACTGGGAAATTGCCTCAGAAAATTTAATAAACTGAACTTACTTGTAAGAAAGAAACTACGCGAAAATTGTCTTAATTTTTTAAAGCAAACATAAGATTATATTTATCGTAATTAAGGAAATACTTGACCAAAATATAGTATACTTTAGCCTGAATGATAAAATGATATTTTATCTTTATACCAAATGATAAAATACCTACTTTTTTCTAATTATTCCTTTGGATTTCTGTTTTTAAAGGAATTACATACGGATCTGTCTGATATTGTAGAAAACATATTGAATGCACATGACACCACAAAGGTGAGTCTAGCTAGGACTAATTTATCTTTTTCTAAAAATACCATGTACTCTAAATTGGGATATGTAGCTAATCTACATATTTGAATCTCTTCTGTATCATCTCCACCAGGTGCTTATTTGGACCTGTGGCTACAATACTTCCAAGTTGTTGCTGAAGATAGCCCATTCCATCTTTAAACAGCTCCTTTGAGTGTTATAATATGAAAACTTTTATTATATTTTATAAGCTAGGCATTTTATAAAAATTAAATAGACACAGCCGTTGTCATCTATAGTTTATGATCTTTTTCTCCCATTTTATAAGTTATGGTAAGGCTGACCTTATATAATTAAGCAAAAGAAGTCACACCAAAAAGAATACATATGTATGATTCCATTTATATGAAGTTCAAGAACAGAGGCAAAAGTAAAAAATGGTGATAGGCATAGAATAGTGATTTCGGGGATGAGTAGATTGATTAACTGGGAAGGACCATAAGCATATCTGAGATGACGCATATAATTTTTTATCCCAATCTGGGTGGTGCATATACATATTCCTTAAAAAAAAAAAATGTCTTAATAGTGTTGGTAAGGGCCTTTCTTGAGTTCTTTTGTTGCAGCCAGAATAAGCATGTAATAGCAGGAATAAGTATGTGCTTTACAAAGAATATAAATTCTTGAATTTTTTAGTTTGACGACATTTATTTGTAAGGATATTATAATAGGTTTATTCCTGTAGCTGGCATTACTGTGGTGTCTACATGTCCCTGTAAAGTTGAAAATAATATGTGAGGCACATTTGAGTTCATTTAAGCCTTTCCACTCAAACATCGACATGTACCAAGTAACAGATGGGTAGGATATAGACTACAGCGGTGTTATAGAGGTTTAGAAAAAATAGGTAACATCAATTTTTTTCTTTCTTCAATCATAATTCCAACATGAATCATTATAGTCTTATTAAATGTTGCTCAATAGAAACAAATAATAAAAATGAATTTTACCGGGCTTGAGCTTTGTTTGGCAATTCAGGCAGTCTTCTCCCTTCATTCACCTCTCTCTGCAGAACACTAAGGTATCCACTTCTATTTGGTATGTATAAGAACAGAAACCTGCAAATGTTTCTGTTAGAAAATGCCTTATGTAGAGATACAGTTTCTAACACCTTTTCTCTGAGTGTTTGATAAACATGTAGGTATTACTACTGTCTATGTAAGATGAAGTTTCAACTTCTGGTTCTGCTGTGAACCTTAAAAAAATATATAATTCAGCTGCTCTATCTCCATGTAACCATGATAATGAAGTGGTAACAGTTTAGAATAGAACTTAGACCTTTCTACCAAACCTATTAACTATGTTCACTGGTGACTAGATTGTTCCAATTTACCCATTTTTTATACCTTTAGATTGGTAATAACATACTTAAATGGAAGTATCATTAAAGCCAATAATTATAATTAAATACTAAATTATCATTAAATACTAAATAAATCATTAATGATTAAATAAATTATTAAATGCTAAAAGCTAATAACATTATTATCCATCTAGAATTGTTAGGTAATTGTTGAACACATGAAGTAAGAAACATTTGGTGTATTTTTGGGAAATGTAATATAGATATTCATTTTTTGTATATATTAAGTTCCTTTAAATCTCTAAGAAGTCTGATAATATTGCCAGATGTTTCTAAGAAGATCTTAGGAAATTGTTAGGATGAAAGAGCAAAATTCAGAGAGTCTGCTTTTTGCTTTCAAAATTAAGAAATACTCCATTTTCCCTACCCGGGGTCTTTTGTGGTTTTCCGTAGGTAACCGTTGAAGCAGAAGATATTGTCAGTTATTTCCCAGGTCTTATTGAAGGAAGAAGATTGTTGATGATAAATTGTTCTCATTATCATTGACTGCTTCAACAGAGTTTTGTTACTTTTAGAACTTATCCTAGCTGGCCTACTTTTCAGATGAACACATAACATCTACTTTAAATTATTGGTTTACTTTCAGACAAATGACCAATATAAGTTTAATAAGCCAGATTTTATTCAAATGCTGTAAAACATGAGACCATTCTTAACTTGAGATCTTTTTGAATATTATTTCTCTTTCAGATGGGCCATCTTACTCTAGAAGACTATCAGATCTGGAGTGTGAAAAATGTTCTTGCCAATGAATTTTTGAATCTCCTTTTCCAGGTATGTTTAAGGTAAATGACAGGTACAGAGGGTAGTAGTACCAGTAAGTCTACATTTTTTTCATTATGTAGTAGTTATTGTAACTAGGCTACAAAACCATATATTATGAAAAAACTATGTTATCCTGTACACCACCTGAAAGATGGTGAGAGAAAGCCAGGAGTGCCTACTGAAGCTTCTGAAAATCAGGATATGGGAGATAAGATAGAACATGGCTGATTATGTGTATTTATCTTATCATAACTTGTGATAGAACAGCATGTAGACACATAGAGAATCATTTAAATTATAATAGCCATCATAATTTGCTATTTTTCTTCACTGTTTTTTTTTTTTTTTCGAGGAAGATTAGGCCAAGCTAACATCCACCACTAGTCTTCCCCATTTATTTTTTCCTGAGGAAGATTGGCCCTGCACTAACATCCGTGCCCATCTTCTTCCACTTTATATGTAGGATGCCTGCCATGGCATGGCTTGATAAGCAGTGCGTAGGTCCTTGCCTGGGATTCAAACCTATGAACCCAGGGCTACCAAAGCAGAGCACGTGAACTTAACTTCACCACCAGGCCAGCCCCCACTGTTGTTTTTTTTTAAAAGACTCTTCCTAACAAGTGAAGCAGTGTGAACAGAGAGATGGATCATAAATAGGCAGCTGTAAATTTTTCGAAGTATGTAATGTCTCCAATTAGAAGATTATCTTAGCTGCAAGGCTGTTTCTTAATCTTTTTTCTTTAGAAAGTCCAAGAAAGATTGAGGGAGAAGGAGGGAAAGAAGCTGCCAGAAGTCAAGATTAAGCTATAGAGGTTGCCAAATTCTAACTCTTTTCCTAGTAAAGTAGTTCCTTTGCTCCAATTTTTAAAACTAATTTACGGTTTCCTGTTTTTCAATATTCTTCATAAATATTTAAGTTGATTTAATAGTGGTATTTTAGATTCTCCTTATTTTCCTTTCCTTGTAAAAGCACCCCTGTGAAGGTCAGAAAGGTTTGGTATCTTTATATCTTTCATAATCTTCCATTGTAAATAAAGAATAACTTATTTGTGACACAACTATGTTGGAATAAATGGAAATTCATCTCTTCTTGACAGCTAATGACTCATTATTGTATATTTAAAACATGTACAATCTGATAGGCCTGTAATATCCATTTAAATCAATCAGTTGTTCTACTGTCAGGTATAATTTTCAGCAGAAATTTAAGTTAATGGCTTTATAAAATATAAATATGTACAAAAATAATATAAATACTATAAACAGAAATAACATACTTGGTAATATCAAAATTGGTGAACTATTTTTATCTCATTTAAAATAATATCCTCAACTACTTTACTGCATAATTAATTATATAAACATTTTGGTCACTTAAGTTTGTATCTTAGTCACTCTCATGCTCTCACGTAGGATATCATTTCCAGTTTTTGTATTGCCTTTGCTATTTTCTCATTCTTATCAGGGGCTTGCAGTTGTACAATTTTCCATGACTCTAACTTATAAACAAGCATATGCTTGAGTTTTGCAGTTGTGTTTCCAACATTATATTGTGAAAAGCCCAAAGAATCTTTCATTGAATACCCATCAGTTCATCATTTAAATTTTAACATTACATTTTGCTATACTCACTTTATCCCATATTCAGATATGCTTTTAAAACTATATGTTCTCTTAATGTATGAGTAAGCAAACTGTTATGCTAAGTTGTTTTGTTTTCTATATGTGTCTTAAAATTGGTAGAGTTAGCTGGTAAGTTTAGTGATAAAAGCTTGAATTATGCTCTTATTTTATTTGCTAAGATTCCCACTCTTGGCTGAGAGTTTTGAGTATTTAACTGTAACATATGTAAGTGTCAGTAGAATTAGAAAATCATCCCTGTGGTAATATCTTTATTTTCAATCCTCAGTGCCCAATATTTTGCAGAGGAAGCATGCTAAACATAATCCGGGTCTTTTGACTTATACCTCCGTCAAAAAGTATCAAATGTTAAAAAGTGTGGCAGACAGAATAATGTCATCCCTGCCTCCCCCACACCCCCAACCAATACCCATGCCCTAATCCCTGGAACCTGTGAATATGTTCTATTACATGGCAAAGGGGACTTTGCAGGTGTATCAGGTTAGGGACTCTGAGACAAGGAGATTCGCCTGGATTATCTGCTGGGCCCAGTCTTTCCCACCTGTGGTCAGAGAGGTCGAGACAGAGAGACAGAGACACAGTGTTGGAAGAAGGGTTAGAGAGAGGCAGAGTTACTAGCTTTGAAGATAGAGGAAGGGGCCATGGGCAAAGGAATATGGGTGAACTCTGTAGGCTGGAAAAGACAAGGAAATGTATTCTTCCCTTAACTTCCGGAAAGGAATACAGCCTTGCTGACATTTTGATTTTAGCCTAGTGAGACTCAGGTCTGACTTTTGACCTAAAGAACTGTGAAATAATAAATATGTGTTCTTTTAAGCTGTAATTTATTATAGCAGTAATTTAAAAAAAGCAGTACAGAGGGAGATAATCCATATTTATGGATTGAAGGGCTCAGTATTTTAAAGACGTCAGTTCCTCTGCACTTGATTTATAGATTTGGTACACTCACGATCAAAATCCAAAGAAGTTTATTATTGTCATGGTGGAACTTGACAAGCTGATTCTGAATACATACAGAAGTGTAAAGGGCCAAAAATAGCCAAGATAATATTAAAGAACAGTGTTAGAGGACTTAGATTACCAGATAATAGGACTACTATAAAACAACAGTATGAAGACAACCTGATATCTGCATAAAATTAGACAAATAGACCAATGGAAAAGTATTGAGAGTCCTTAAACAGACCTACGTATATGTGATCCCTTGATTTATAACAAGGAAGACATTGCATTGCAGATGGGAAGGAATGGTTTGGGTTTTTTTAAATTATTTTATTGAGGTCATATTGGCTTACAACATTGTGTAAATTTTATGTGTGCATCACTGTATTTCAGTTTCTGTGTAGACTGCGTGTTCACCACCAACAGTCCAGTTTTTATCTGTCACCATACATATGTGCCATTGCATGCATACAGTGGTATACTTTACAGCAATGAAAATAAATATACTAATGCTACACAAAACAACATGGAGGAATCTTGCATAACATTGTTTGGGAAACACTGAACCAAAGAATTCAAAAGCAGGCAAAACCAATCTATGGTGATAGAATTCAGGATAGTGAATGCATCAAAGGGATGCGGTAGTGTCTGGGAAAGAACCCACAGTAGGGCTTTGGAGGAGGTAGTAATGTCCTATTTCTTGACTGGGTGAAGGTTATATAGTTGTGTTTATTTGTGAAAAGGTCATTGAATTGTACCCTTAACATTTGTTCACTTAAGCATGTATATTATATTTCCATTTATTAAAAGTTTAAAATTTGTCTACAGTAAATATGTCAAAAGCCCAAGTATCCATCAATATGAGAATGGATAAAACAAATGGTGGTATATTGGAACAATGGAATACTACTCAGCAATAAAAAAAATGAACTTCTGATACACGGATGAATCTCAAAAACCTAATTTGTATATTTCATTGTTATGTAAATGTTGTGTCCAAAGATAAACAAAACTGTAAACAGATGTTGAACTCTAGTTAATGTTAGACATGCTGATGTATTTACAGAGAGCTATACCAATGTCTATAATTTACTTTGAAATGTATCCAAAAATTAAGATTGATGGATAAATTGAGGGATAGATACAAGTATAATAAAATGTTAATGTTAAAATCTGGGTAATGGGTATGACATGTTCTGTGTAAAATTCTTTCAATTTTTCTGTACTTTTGAAACTTTTCATGATAAAATAATGAGAAAGAAATTACATCTTTTGTGATGATATTTACAGAAGGCAAATAAAGAGGAAATGAGCCTTAAAAAACATATTTAGGGTCCGGCCCTCTGGCCTGGTGGTTGAGTTCAGTGTGCTCTGCTTTGGCTGCCCTGGTTTGTGTGTTTGGATCTTGGTATGGACCTACACCACTTGTTGGCCATGCTGTGGTGGTGATCCACATGTAAAAAGTGGAAGAAGATTGGTGCAGATTTTAGCTCAGGGCTAATCTTTCTCAGCAAAAAAACAAAACAAAAACAAAACGCTTATTTAGCATTAGTGGCAATGATTTGTTTCTTAGAGCTGTTCAAATTAAAATGCCACCCTTATCTTTCATCTTCTATCTCCTCTTCATCTCCGCTTCACCTTCCTCCCCAAGTGCCATGAGATACTCTTCCAATTTCACGGAAAAAAACAATATTCTCTGCATGAGGTATATTAAAATATATAGTATTAATGAAATATTCTGAAAAGTGGTTGGTTCTTTTCTTTCTTCCTTTCTTTGTCTCTTTCTTTATTTCTTATCTCACATAGAGATTTTGAAGTTGGCCTCCATTGAAATGGTTTGTTTTAAAAACAAACAGCTAAAGATGAAAGTTTAGATTTGCTCAGGTGAATCATTGATAATTCATCAGTTGAAAGCTATTGCTAATTCAGATTCCTACCTAGAAAGTGTCTCTCACACAGAGAATGTGAAATACTATACAGTCCAGTCATTGGCACCAGTCAATGGAATTTAATTTACCACTTTTTTCTCTAGGTATGTCACATAGTTCTGGGGTTAAGACCAGCTACTCCAGAAGAGGAAGGACAAATTATTAGGTAAGTTTGTAGTTTTAATCTGTGTATTTTTCATTATATTATTGAAATTTCTAAAACCTGAAGTATATTTTACTAAGCAGCATCATGCCCCACTTTAAAGTAATCATTATAGTAACACCCTATTTCTCCAAAATACTTATGTGGAAATTGTTTGGCACTATTTATGAAAGTTGAATGTAGGCCTACCTTATGATCCAGCAAGTCTACCCATGTGTATACGCTACAGAAATTTGTATATTTGACATATTTTGTTAAAGTAACTTCCTATACGAGAGATAGGATTAATTTGGAAATCAAATTCTATTTAATATTAAAATTTTATTAGTACTAAATTAATTTTTTGAAGTAAAAAAGATATAATATAAAAGGTAGCAATTTTTTCTTCCAAGAAAACAGTTCACATTTATTGTACAAAGATTAGAAAGCAGAGATAAGCAAAAAGAAGCAAAAAATGCCCATCATCTCTGTTTACAGATAATTGCTGTTGACATTTTTTTCAGCTTTATTGAGATATAATTGATAACTAAAATTGTAAGATATTAAAGTATACGATATAATGATATGAATTTGTATACATTCTGAAAGGATTCCCCCCATTGAGTTAATTAACACATCCATCACCATTGCTTTGCATATTTATCATCTTTTTTTTTTTTTGGTGAAAATGTTCAAGTTCTACTTACTCTCTTAGCAAATTTCAGTTATACAACACAGTGTTATCAACTATAGTCACCACATTATACATTAGATCTGCAGACTTTATTCATCCTGCAACTGAAAGTTTGTACCGTTTTACCAACCTCCCTCTTTGCCTGCAGCTGCCAGCCTGTGGCAACCAGTTTTCTACTCCATTCCTGAGTTTCGCTTTTTTTTTTTTTTTTTTTTTTAAGATTCCATGCATAAGTGATACCATGCAGTATTTGTCTTTCTCTGTCTGGCTTATCTCACTTAGCATAACACCCTCCAGCTTCATCCACGTTGTTGTAAATGACAAGATTTTCTTTTTTAAGGCTGAATAATATTCCGTTATATATATATCACGTTTTCTTTATCCCTTTATCTGTTGTTGGACACTGAAGTTGTTTCTGTCTTGCTTATTGTGTATAATGCTTCAGTGAACATGAGAGTACAGCTATCTCTTCAAGCTGATTTTATTTCCTTTTGCTATATACCCATAAGTGGGGTTGCTGGGTTGTGTGATAGTTCTATTTTTAATTTGTTGAGAAACCTCCATACCATTTTCCATAGTGACTGTACCAATTTACATTCCTACCAACAGTGTACAAGAGTTCCCTCTTCTCCACATCATTGCCAGCATTTATTCTCTCTTATCTTTTTGATAATAGCCATCCTAACAGGTGTGAGGTGATGTCTCATTGTGGTTTTGATTTGCATTTCCCTGATGATTAGTGATATTGAACACCTTTTCTTGTACCTATTGGCCATTTGTATATCTTTGGAAAAATGTCTGTTTAGGTCCTTTGCCCATTTTTTAATTGAATTATTTGTTTTTTGCTATTGAGTTATATCAGTTCCTTGTATATTTTAGAGATTAACCTCTTATCTTGTATTTGGCTTGCAAATATCTTCTCCCATTCCATGGCTGTCTTTTCATTTTGTTGATGGTTGCACTATTGACACTTTTAACATTCACATACCCACATATGTGATTGTAAAATTTTACAAAAATAAGAATATTCTGAAATATTGTTTTATTTTCTTTTTCACTGCAAATCATATAAAATGATACTTTTATATCTCAAAAGCCAGTTATAATTTAAATTATTGCCTAGTAGGCCCTATTTATCCCCTGTTTTTATCTGTATTTTTCTTTAAATGTAAGTGTATTGGAACAATTTAGTAATAAAATCTGTGTGCCTTGGTTAGGGATTTACTTAGGCAAAATTACTTGAGGTGAAATACTTGGGTTAATAGGCCTGTACATTTTTATAGATATAATTCAATTTTTAATACCTCAAATATCTTTCATTGCTTTAGGGTTACCGTTATACTACATATTCATAAAGAAAGTTTCAGAAAGAGGACTGAATTGCTACTGAACTTTGCTTTTAGAATAAACTCTTACTATATAGCTTGTCACTTGACTTTTTCTTAAAAGTAGTGTGTATACAAATTTTTCAGTAGTTTCTTCTGGTTTTGGACTACTGAATAAAAGAGAGTTTATTGAAATAGAATTGTTTGGAATACCTGAATACAGAATTACATAGTAAACATTAAAACAAGCATTGACAGTTGAGATTCAGATTAGTTGAAGTAGCAAGTATATTTTCTAGCCTTTTAAAATGGATTTTTAAAAATTATTATTTCTTAAAGAAGATTAAGCAAAATCAAGGTTAAGCAAACTCCATTTTGTAAAATGTTCATAAAAACGCTAGTCTCATGTAGTCTTTTTAATTTTCATACTCAGAAGACTCATTCTTGTTTGTAGTTTTCAGATGTTGAAAATGTCTTGATTTTCTCTAATTTTTAGCTATTTTAGCTAAATGTAAAATAAAATTTAAAAATACATTGAAGTGTACAAATGAGATATTGTGAGGAAATACTGAAAGGCTTTATGTAGCTGCAGTACCTTTTTTCTTATAATATTGAAGTCTAATTTCATGTTATACTAATATCTTCTGAAGTCAATATGACTTAGCATAGATATTAAGAATGCTGTGTGAACTGTATATCTATATCTATATCTATATCTAAATATATATATATTTATTTATTTATTTATTTCTTGGCTTAATTATTTTGTAAGTGCTGATAACTTCCCTAGTTAAAAATATTATGTTGATATAATCTTATGTTTTTATGGAATTTTGTTCTTTGCAAAGTACTTCCACGTGCATTATTTCGTCTAGTTCTCAGGATGACGGCATGAAATTAGTGACATCATCCCATTTTGTAAAAGAGGAAACAGATTCACAAAAGTTGAGGAACTTACCTAAAGTTACATAGAAGTGGCAGAATCAAACCTAAGACTACTTTTTGTTAAAAACACAAATAATCTACTGCTTTCTATATTCTTTATTTTTCAATAAATCTGAATTTCAAATCCTGGATTCTAAATTGGTTCATTTCATTTAGATTTTTTAAGTTTTGTTTTATTTTGCCTCCATTTTCACTTCTAAAAATTCATTTGATTGTCATGATTTTTAAAGTATGAGTCAGGTTGGTACATAGGCAGTGAGGTGAAAGAAATATTTCTCTCTAACTTAAAGAATCAGTACTCTGTTTAAAAATCAGTATCTTGATTTCTGCAATGACTGAGTGAAGATCTCAGCAAATCCTCTCCCCAAAAAGCAATTGGACAAAATATAAAACTAGACAAAATTGTCAGTCACCTAAGGACTCTGGAAACTGACCAGAGGTATTCAACAAATTTTGAAGCATTTACTCAAGAAAAACTACTAAACTTTGGTAAGAATAACAGGAATCTCTAATAATTTTACTGGCACAGTTCCCACTCCGTCTCATCCAACAGTTCTGCATGACGGTTTTACCAGGGAAGGCCAGCAAGGGCTGACTTGATTTGGAGTAGAGCAGGGATGAAAGTCTACCCAAGAGAACTATAAAAAAACAGTAGAGATCATGGTGGCAAATAATCAAGGAACATGACTAGCTTGGGGTTAAGATACTGGTTAAGGGAAGCAACAGACTGTCAGACTAGTCAAAATTTTAACAATGAGATCCAGCGTACAAGATAACCACAGTGAATATTAATAAACTTCCATATACCCTAATGATCTGGAAGGCTGCTTGTATATAAGGCTACATGCAAGCTCAGGAGATACTGAATAGGGCTTTAGCTATCTAGTCATTCCTGATTGGATGTGAGGCCTTGCACATGCAACAGGTAAAAGCCAGAGAATGTTTTTAACATACCTGAACTTTGCCTGTGTTTCCCAAACTGTGAACAGATCCATCAGGAAAAAGGTGTTACTGGCTCAAGATGTTTAAACACAACCTCTCACCAATCAATGGCTGACCAGTAAGTTATGCTTTCCCCAACAAAGCCAGACTTAAATATAAAATAATAATGGGGCCGGCCCAGTGGCACAGTGGTTAAGTTCGCTCGTTCTGCTTTGGCGGCCCAGGGATTGCTGGTTTGGATCCCGGGTGCAGAATGGCACCACTTGGCAAGCCATGCTGTGGTAGGCATCCCCCATATAAAAAGTAGAGGAAGATGGGCACAGATGTTAGCTCAGGGCCAGTCTTCCTCAGCAAAAAGAGGAGGATTGGCAGCAGATGTTAGCTGAGGGCTAATCTTCCTCAAAAAAAAAGAAATCAAAGAACTTAGACTAGCTTAGACAACTTCAAAAAATAACAGAATTGAAGAACTTAAAGTTCCTGAATTCAAAACTTAGTATAAGCCTACATTAATCAAGACAGTGTAGTACTGGTGTAAAGATAGACATAGAGATCAATCAAACTGAACTGACAGTTTAGAAAGAAGCCCTTATATATTTGGTCAATTGATTTTCTACAAATTATCCAAGAAAATTCAATGGAGAAAGGGTTTTCATTTTCAACAAATGGTACAGAATAATTGGATATCCACATGTGAACAGATTTAGACCCTTACCTCATACCATACACAAAAATGTACTCAAAATGTGTCTCATAGACCTAAACATAAGAGCTAAAACTATAACACTTATGAAAATAAAACTAATATAAAATCTTCGTTATTTGAGGTTAGCACACCAAAAGCACAATCCATAAATGAAAAAAATTTTTGATAAATTGGACTTAGTCACAGTTAAAAACTTTTGAGGTTCAATGGGCACCATTCAGCCAGAGACTGGAAGAAAATATTTACAAATTATATCTTTGAAAAAGGACTTGCTTCCAGGTTATATAAATGTTACAACATATGAAATTTAAAAATCTAATTAAAAATGTGCAGAAGACTTGAATTGACATTTCACCAGTCAGGTATGAATGAATGAATGAAGAATGGCTAATAAACCCTTGAAAAGATGCCCAGCAGCATCTTCAGGGAAGGCAAATTAAAAGTACAGTGAGAGGAGTGACTCAGTGAAAGTGGTGTAGTAGGTAACTTCAAGAGCCTGTCTTTCCACAGAAACATTGAACAATAAAGGAAAAAAGTCTAAAAATAAAGTTTATCAGACTTTATTTTGACAAGCACAAATTCTGGAGCCAAAAAATATGGTAACTGAAATGAAAAATTCACTAGAGGGATTCCTCACCAGATTTGAGCAGATAGAAGAAAGAATCAACGAACTTAAAGTAGGCCAGTTGAAATTATCCACACTGAGAAGTAGAAAGAAAAAAGAATGAAGGAAAATTAACAGCGCTTAGGAGACCTATGGAATAGCAGCAAGCATACCAACATACACATGATGGGAATTCCAGAAGAGCAAGAGAGAGAAAAATGGCAGAATATTTGAAGACATAATGGCCTAAAACTTCCCAAATTTGATAAAAGACATGAGTCTAAACACTCAAAAAGCTCACTGAATTCCAAGGATAAACTCTTAAGAGATCCACACCAAGACAGGTTACAATCAAATTGTCAGAAGCCAGGGACAGAATTTTCAAGGCAGCAAGAGAGAAGCTGCTCATCCTATACAGTGTATCCTCAATAAGATTAACTGCAGTTTTCTCATCCGAAACCTTGGAATCCAGAAATGAGTGGAATGGAATTCTTATTAAAGTACTGAAAGAGGGGCCGGCTCAGTGGTGCAGCGGTTAAGTTCGCACGTTCTGCTTTGGCGGCCCGGAGTTTGCTGGTTCAGATCCCCTGTGCGGGCATGGCACCGCTTGGCACGCCATGCTGTGGTAGGTGTCCCACATATAAAGTAGAGGAAGATGGGCATGGATGTTAGCTCAGGGCCAGTCTTCCTCAGCAAAAAGAGGAGGATTGGCAGCAGATGTTAGCTCAGGGCTAATCTTCGTTAAAAAAACAAAAAAAGTACTAAAAGAAAAAACTGTAACCAAGAATTCTACATCTAGCAAAAATATTTTTTCAAGAATGATTTGGGGTGTTGGCTCTGTGGCCGAGTGGTTAAGTTCACGCGCTCCACTGCAGGCGGCCCAGTGTTTCATTGGTTCGAATCCTGGACGCGGACATGGCACTGCTCATCAAGCCACGCTGAGGCAGCGTCCCACATGCCACAACTGGAAGGACCCACAACGAAGAATATACAACTATGTACCGGGGGGCTTTGGGGAGAAAAAGGAAAAAAATAAAATCTTTAAAAAAAAAAAGAATGATTTGGATTTTGAAATGAATTCTTATATGTGACACCAAAAGCATGAGCAGCCAAAGAAAAAAATAAATAAATTTGACTTCATCAAAATTACAAACTTCTGTTCATCAAAGAACATTGTCAAGAAAGTGAAAAAGACAACCTACAGAATGGAAGATCTTTCTAAATCATAGAACTGACAAAGGTCAAGTAAATAGAATACGTAAAGAACTCCTACAACTCACCAACAAAAAGACAAACAACTCAATTAAAAAATGGGCAAAGGAATTGATTACACATTTCTCCAAAGCTGATATACAAATAGTCATCAAGCACATAGATGCTCAAATCATGTCAGAAAGCATATTGGTGATTGTCAAGGGCTGGGGGAAGGGAGAAATAGAGAATAACTGCTTAGTGTATAACTGCTTAATTAGGATGTATGAAAATGTTTTGGAGAAATTCACATAACATGAAACCATTTTAAAACATAAAATTCAGCAGCATTTAGTACATTCAAAATAAGCAGTCACCACCTTATGTTATATGAATTTCTCCTCCACAAAAATAGTGTTTTAAAAATCACAATGTACGGCCGGCCCGGTGGCGCAGCGGTTAAGGTCGCGTGTTCTGCTTCTCAGTGGCCCGGGGTTCGCCGGTTCGGATCCCAGGTGCGGACACGGCACTGCTTGGCACGCCATGCTGTGTTAGGCGTCCCACAAATAAAGTGGAGGAAGATGGGCATGGGTGTTAGCTCAGGGCCAGGCTTCCTCAGCAAAAAAAGAATAGGACTGGCAGTAGTTAGCTCAGGGCTAATCTTCCTCAAAAGAAAAAAAAATCACAATGTGACACCACTTCACACCCACTAGAATATTTTATTATAGAGAAGACAGACAATAAGAAGTGTTGGTGAAAATACAGAGAAACTAGAACCCTCATACATTACTGATGGGAATGATAAATGGTGCATCCACTTGGAAAACAGTTTGCCAGTTTCAAATGATGAGATGTTAGATGGAAAAACAAAATGTGGTATATACATACCTATGGAATACTACTATTGAGTAATAAAAAGGCACAAACTAATGATATCTGCTACAACATAGATGAACCTTAGAAACATACTTAGTAAAAGAGGCCAGATGTGAAAGATCATGTGCTATATCACTGCATTTATACAAAATGTTTGGAAAAGAGAAATGTAGAAGAGAGAAAATAGACTAATGGTTTCCTGGGGCTGAGAGCGGTAACACAGATTGACTAAAAATGGGCAGAAGGTCTCTTTTTGGGGTAATTGAAATGTTCTAAAATTGGATTGCGGTGGTGATTGCACACATTTGTAAATTTACCAAAATCATTAAGTTGTTCACTTAATTCAGGTAAATTTTATGTTATGTAAATTATTCCTCAATAAAGCTATTTTGAAAACATCAGTACGAGGCTTGATAGTGGTGATATGACTCCTGAAATTGGCTTATCAATGTTTCACTAATTGAAATTGTGACAGTCTCTGGAGTGTATCTATTTGTTTCATATTTTTCCTTTATAAAAATTTCTAATGATAATTTGCAGATGTGTGGTCATCTATTTCACACACCATTTGATGTACTGAATTTCTTTTGTGTGTACAGAGGATGGTTAGAACGAGAGAGCAGGTATGGTCTACAACCAGGACACAACTGGTTTATCATCTCCATGCAGTGGTGGCAGCAGTGGAAAGAATATGTCAAATATGTGAGTAAGATTCTTGTTTATTTACATTTTTCATAGAGTTTTCAGTTCTATCAGACTTTGTGTGACTACTGGTCAGTAATAAAATGCTCCAACCTAGATAAGATTTGAGGGGAAAGAAATGAATACTCATATGATACTTCCTATCAACCAGCCTCTGTGCTTACACTTCCACATAAATTTCCTCCCTTGCTCTGTGAAGAAGGTAATACTGGGCATGGGGGTACATATATATGCACCTTACATATCTCTTTTAATCTTCACAATATCTCTATGAGGAAGGTAGTATTATACCCATTTTACCTGTGAGGAACCTGAGGCTGAGATTAAAGGTAATCTGAATATCTTGCTCAGATTGGAAGTTCTGGGATCAAACCTAAGGACTGACTTTAAAGCCAGTGAATGTTGTCTCAACCACATCATTTACGTTACCCTTCATTTGTTCACCTTTTCCATCAAACAGTTGAAGACTCTGGGTAAGAAGTGCTGATTTTCTATTCAAGAAAGTTAATTTCAGAACTAACATTAGAGCTCAATTTTTAAATGATAATCTGCCATCATTCCAAATAAAAAGTTAAAAAAGAAATTCTCATTAGTGAATATTCTATAGTCTTATTTAAAACATAGAAAGAATTTTTTTCAGAATTAAAAAACTAAGAAAGAGTAATGCCAGGAATCAAATTTCTTCATTCTTGGAGAGTCAGTTGATATATCAGCTCATTCTCAGTTGTCTAATGATCACTAACGAAAATTTTAATAATTTGATTCCTACTTTTTCTATATGTCCTTTTCTGTCATTGTTTATTTATCAGAATATTGGTAAACTGTTTACATTATCTACCTCATTATTCTGCATGGTTCTTTTTCCCTTTTGCAGAGTTTAGTAGTGTGTTTTCACTACTAACATAAAGTACAATACGTTAATTGGAAAAGGTAGACTTCGGTGTCACTGAAGGAATAAAAATTTGCAAATGACTTCGAAGACCTTGTAGGTAGATAATGATGATGATTGTAGATAGAAAGTGAGAACATTGGGATAAAGCACCACAGTCTATTTTGAAATGCTTTTTGCTCTTTATACAGGCGTGCACCACGTAATGACATTTCAGTCACTGACAAATTGCGTATACAATCGTGATCCCATAAGGTTAGTACCATTTAGCCTAGGTGTATAGTGGGCTATACCATCTAGGTTTGTGTAAGTACCCTCTATGATGCTTGCACAATGACGAAATGACTGCAGTTTAAGTACTCTATGTATGCTGATGACACAGATTTATATCTTTGGACCAGACCTCTCTGAACTCTACTTGGATGCCCAATTGGTATCTCAGACTTATTGAGTACCGTCATGCATTGCTTCATGTCAGGGATATGTTCTAAGAAATGCATCATTAGGTGATTTTGTTGTTGTGCAAATACCATAGAATGGTCTGAAGGGGTACAAAATACGCCACCCCAAAATGTATCTCTTCAACATGAGGATTATTTTAGGCTGATTAGTTTTAAGAAACAAAAGACTCAGAAAATTTTTATTAGCTCCTGCTTAACTGCCTCTAAGAATTCAGATAAAAAAACTGTCTCAGGAAGCGAGCTATCACCTTAGCATAACATGAATTAGGTAATAGACAGGGAGGAACCTAGAAAAGCCTGTTTGTTGGGCTTCCCTCTATGTTCTTCTGTTTCTGTGTGGCCAAACACTTGTTTTCCAAATGTTTGCTCCTTTTCACCTACCTGTAAATTGCTTTCCTTCCGTTTGAAGTCCCTGACTCTCCCCACCCCCAACAACTTCTTTTGTCTTTAGCTGAGGATGGTACTTAAGGTGAGGGCTTCAGCCATTTTGGCCAGTTACTTGTTTTTCCTGGGTTTCTCCTATTTATACATGTTATTAAACTTCTGTTCATTTTTCTCCTGTTACTCTGTCTCATGTCAATTTAATTCTTAGACCAGCCAGAAGAACCTAGAAGGATAGAGGTTTCTTCCTTCCCTATAGTACTTACACAAACCTAGATGATATAGCACCCTACACACCTAGGCTGTATGGTACTAAGCTTGAGGGACCACCATTGTGTAAGCAAACCATTGTTGACCAAACTGCCGCTTAGTAGCACATGACCATATATATATGTATAAAGCATAAAAAGAAGTAGCATCATCACTGATAAGAAAGTGAATCCTGCCTCTTATTTTGCAACATCATAAACCATTCATACAATTCAGAAGGAATCATAAAATTATCAAAATAGAATTATCTTATCTTAAAGTGCCACATTGTCAGTCCTTTTAGGAATCATCCTCTCAGAGAAAGAAAAATTTCTCACCATGGGTGAAACTACCTATCTAGAGACCTATCTTCCTGAAGCGTGGGCTTCTGGGATAGTTTATGGTAGTTCCAGACCCAGAAGTCAGTAAAAACAAAACAAGGTCCTTTGATGTTTAGGTGAAAAAAATTTCCCAGAGCAACTGCAAATTACGTAGTCAAAAAGAGCCAGTGAGGGGCCAGTCCGGTGGTGCAGCAGTTAAGTGTGCATGTTCCACTTCAGCAGCACAGGGTTCGACAGTTTGGATCCCGGGTGTGGACCTATGCACTGCCTGTCCAGCAATGCTGTGGCAGGCATCCCACATAAAATAGGAGAAGATGGGCCTGGATATTAGCTCAGGGCCAGTCTTCCTCAGCAAAAAGAGGAGGATTGGCAGCAGATGTGAGCTCAGGGCTAATCTTTCTCAAAAGAAAAAAGAAAAAGAGCCAGTGACTGCAATATATGACCATTATTGGTTGGTTCAGTGTATAGAAGGAAAGTAGTGATAAGGTTAATTAACTAAAAATGTTGACAGTTTTACTGAAAGCCAAGAAGAGTGGAAGAAATGACAAGAAAAATAGGGCAGAGAATGGGAAAAAAGAGAGAACCTAAGTAGTGGTGACAGTTTCAGGCAGTGCCAGACACTGGGAGCAATAGATTCCTAGAATAGAAAAGAAAGCCAAATACAATAAGACATAACACTTTAGACTGAAACATTGGAAAAAAAGTGAAGAAAAGCCTGTATTTTCCATGTCTAAAGGGTATCATTCATTGTGCCATGTTAAAAGCATATGGTATAGTCTGTAGTCTTTGGGGGCAAAGATTGTAGCTTCTGATAAGCTATTACAATCATTCTATTGCTAAATTATTATAAAACTCAACCTAACAGATTTAATGCCTGGTAATTTATCATCCCGTTTTCTTGCCAATGATATCGATAGATTCAGCCTATGGACTAAGCTGTTTATAATAAAAAATATTATGAGAATGGTTTCATGTAAATTTTCTTTAGAAACATAGGCTCCATATAAGATTTCCAAACCCATTAAAGCATTTAAAATACAATTCTAAATATTTCTCCTTGAAATTCTGTTAAATGCCAAACTCAGAGGAAAACTTGAAGAAAATTATTTGCTCAAGTGGGATTAAGGAAACCTAATCTTCCTCAAAATCTTTTTACAGATTTTTAAAAAGTAATTTATCGTGCATGTATAAACCTAATATAAATGGAATAGAGAAGTGAATATAAATTTGAAAAGGAGTTACCTGTCAACCATATGATAGTTATGCAGGCATCATTTAAGTTCAAGAACACTTATAGCAAGAATAAAGTGATTTTCTAAAGGATAACAAAGTGACCTTGGAGAAGACTTTAACTTTTCAGAAAGTTATTCTTTTAAAATAGCTATGCTATCTGTCTTACTCCAGCTCTATAGGAAAGAAGGAAATGATCCAAAAGCTCATTCAAATCTGAATCTTTTTCTAAAAAGCAAGTTTTAGAGTAAGTAATAGATTCAATAAGAAATCAGTTACTATACTTTCAGCATTTGGAGCACATTATGAAAACAAAAGTTTGAGACTATAAGCCTCACTAGGGCAATGATTATCAATTCTGACTGTATAGTAGAATCACATAGAGAGCTTTAAAAAAAAAAAATGCCTGTGTTCCACTCCAGACCAAATAAATCAGAAAGCATAATTGAAGAAAAGTCTTGAAATGATTTAATTAGTAAGTCATTTTTATTTACTGAAATCTTTCTTTTGAAACCTAACTTAAATTGAATGCATTTTTGTTGGTATGGACATGGTATCAGAAGAGCTGTGAGAAGATCAATATTATCTTTAAGGAATTGCTGTGAAATTCACAGGCTGAAGTCTAAACATATGATTAATAATATAAACTACTCAGGCCTAATTTATATTTCTCCTCCTTTTGGCTGTAGATCAGTTTGGTTCTACTGTTCTACTGTCCATACAATTTTGACTTCTTTGGTGGACAGTCCAATTTAAAATATTGATGACTTGGGCTGGAACCATGGCCTAGTGGTTAAGTTTGGTGTGCTCCACTTTGGTGGCCCAGGTTCAGTTCCCCAGGTGTGGACCTACACCACTCGTCAGTGGCCAGGCTGTGGTGGTGACCTACACACAAAATTGGGGAAGATTGGCACAGATGTTAGCTCATGACGAATCTTCCTTAACAAAAATAAATAAATAAATAAATAGAATAGAATAGAATAAAATACCAGTGACCCCAAATTCATATTTAAAGTTGATTCCCAGTTTTGAGTTATTTGTGTACTATCATCACCATTTTTGTCATATAATACCCTTACTATTATTTGCATAATATATAAATAACTTTACCATTTTTATGTAAATAAATGTATTTTAGAATGAAACTTTATATCACTATTTTTTTTTATTGAGTTATTGATAGGTTACAATCTTGTGAAATTTCAATTGTACATTAATGTTTGTCAGTCATGTTGTAGGTGCACCACTTCACCCTTTGTGCCCACCCCCCACCCCACCTTTCCCCTGGTATCCACCAAACTGTTCTTGGTCCATAGTTTTAAATTCCTCATATGAGTGGAGTCATACACAGATTATCTTTCTCTTGCTGGCTTATTTCACTTAACATAATTCTCTCAAGGTCCATCCATGTTATTGCAAATGGAATGATTTTGTTCTGTTTTGCAGCTGAGTAGTATTCCATTGTAAATATGTACCACATCTTCTTTATCCATTCGTCTGTTGCTGGGCACTTAGGTTGCTTCCGCGTCTTGGCTATTGTAAACAGTGCTGCAATAAACATTGGGGTGTACAGGACTTTTGGGATTGCTGACTTCAGGCTCTTTGGATAAATACCCAGTAGTGGGATGGCTGGATCGTATGGTAGTTCTATTTTTAGTTTTTTGAGGAATCTCCATACTGTTTTCCATAGTGGCTGCACCAGTTTGCATTCCCACCAGCAGTGTGTGAGGGTTCCTTTTTCTCCACAACCTCTCCAACATTTGTTGCTATTAGTTTTAGATATTTTTGTCATTCTAACAGGTGATATCTTAGTGTAGTTTTGATTTGCATTTCCCTGATGATCAGCGATGATGAGCATCTTTTCATGTGCCTGTTGGCCATCAGTATATCTTCTTTGGAGAAATGTGTGTTCATGTCTCCAGCCCATTTTTTGATTGGGTTGTTTGATGTTTTGTGGTTGAGTTGTGAGAGTTCTTTATATATTAAGGATATTAAGCCTTTGTCAGATATATGACTTGCAAATATTTTTTCCCAGTTAGTGGGTTGTTTTTTTGTTTCAATCCTGTTTTCATTTGCCTTGAAGAAGCTCTTTAATCTAATGAAGTCCCATTTGTTTATTCTTTCTATTGTTTCCCTTCTCTGAGAAGGCATGGTGTCCGAAAAGTATATCACTATCTTAAATAGAAAATCTGTCACATTCCAGAAATAGAAGATCAAAATAAATTCAGTGAAAATAAAATATATTATTAAATTCCAGTTAAATAGTGTCTCCTTTTGAAGACTAATATTGAGACCTATTCTCTGTCAAAAAGAGAAATTATCAAGTGTTAGATTAGCATATCAAGTATTGGGTTAGCACATCAGTACCAGACTAAGACCCTTTCCTTGAAATAATCAGAGGATCGAAAGAGAATTAAATAGGGAATAACTTTATCTTTGTGAACTAGGACTATTTAATGCCCAAAATAGTGTGGTGCCTTTACCATACTTTAAAAAAGTTAATAATTGACAGAAGATGCTAACATTTGGATCTGTAATAAAGAATGTGAATCTATATGCCTCTGAATTGTTTGAAGTTTTAATGATAAGGCTGTCTTGCTATTTAAAAATTTTTAATCCAACAAAGTTAATTGGTATGTGGAGAGAAACTTAGGTTTTATTCTCATTCTTCTTGCCACTCTTTCAATTAAAGGCATTGGAATGTCTTCAGAGTTGGCTTCTCTGAAGGATCTACAAATTGATAGTATTCACCTGGCTTACATAGATCAAAGAGGAGAAAACAGCTAGTAAAATGTTGATACAATGTCTTCCTAATTTGGCTAAAATTAGGGATATTATAATTGCATTAAAAGAAACTAAAACATCCACTATGCTATTACTATGCCGTGACTTAGAGTTAGGGTTTTAAATTTGATGTTTTTCTTGGGTTTCAGTTAGTTACTTTATAAGCAATGCCTTCAAGACCCACATTCACTGATCAGTTTTATCTACTAAAATTCACATCAGTGTTTATTGAATGCCACTTGAGTTCTTGTACCCACGCTATCTGTCTCCTCAGATGCCTGTGGGATCTTGTTCCACTGGTTAGTCCCATTAGTCTTTCTCTTTACCCTCTCAGTTACAAATATCCAATCTTTTAAAAACACAGATAAACATTCTCATAGCACCTTCCCTCCTCTGTCTCCTCAAGCCTTATGTCTATTTTTTTCACTGCTAAACTTAGTAGAAAATAGTTCTATGCTAACGGTCTCTGCTTCTGGTACTCTACAATCTCCTGATTTTTCTCTGATCATTCAGGCTCAGTGTCCTTCCCAGATTCTTCTACTACCTATCCTATAAATATTATTCTCTCCTTATTCTATGTATACCACTTTCTTGTTCTTCAGGAAGTCTCTTGAGCTGCCAATTTTTATATCCAGCCTCTTTCTCTGTCCTGAGCGCTAGACTCAAATGTCCAGGTGTCTCAAACAGGAATATCGAGAATAAGCTCATTCCCAAGATGATCTCATTCACCCATATACTTTATCTTATAAAAGTGTCAACTCCCATCTAGTTGTCTAAGCCAGCACCTACCTTGGAATTACCTTTCCCCTCTTTCGTATACAATTCGTTGTCAAATTTCTCACCACCTACATCACCTAAATCCATTCTCTTCTCTCCATCTCCTTATTTTTGGATCTAGCTCTGTGGTTTAGTACCTCATCACCTCTTGCCTGAATTATTATAGGAGTCTTCTAACTTGTGTCTCAATTTTCAATTGCTACCTCTAGTCCTTTCTACACACTAGAGTTATTTGTAAAGTAAAAATTGAATTATGCTATTCCCCTGTTTAAAAGCCTGTCGCAGAAAAATCCTGTCAACATAATAAGTAAAAGAAAAACCAACAGTATGCTGTGTTTAAAATGTGAGATCTATTTAACAACCACCAGAGTGGTAGCACATTTACTAAATGCCAGGCACTTTGCATGTGTTGCTCATATAATCTTCACAATAACTCTGAGGTAGATAGTAATATTATCCTAATTTTTATCCATGAAGAAACAGAGGCTTAGAAGTTTACTTATTGCGAAAGTCACATGGCTGGTAAGTCAGAGCCCTGCCCCTAATTCTAACTACAGACATGTGTCACTTAACAGCAGGCATATGTTCTGAGAAATGCATCGTTAGGAGATTTCATCATTGTGCGAACATCATAGAGTGTGCTTACAGTGTCAACTGAAATAAAGAGTCTGGATAAAGATTAATTAAAGGAGTTTATTTGATAATCAAAGTGAGGAATTCAAATCCTGGGAAACAGTCCAACAGAGTATTCTAAGGAACCGTTCTGAGTCTACAGATCCGAGTGTAGTTTATATACTTTTTAACAAAGCAGCAGTGTACATGCAGGAAAGGGCTTACACATCTAATAGTCATATGCTTTAAAGATAACATGACAAGAACTTTCGGTTACACATCAAACAAGGCTTGTAATGTTGATGTTGTCTCTGTGGAGGGAGGCAAGGACCAGGGTTGTGACCTTTTCCCTCAATCTCTAAGAAATATAGTTGGGAAATGTGAGAACAAGGTACCCATTATCTTTTCCTGTTGCTGATTCATCCTGCTGGTTCTTCAGTCATGAGGTGAGAGGTTGCAAGGTCATTTAGGCACAGGCTTATGAAGCCTGCATGGCTGCTTCACCGTACAGCATGGATTTTTATTGTACTGACTTTAAGTCTAAAAAGCTTGCTTGTTAGATTCACCTGCTAGACCAGGGAGAAGGATCCCAGTTCCGTTCACACACAAACCTAGATGGTATAGTCTACTACACACATAGACTATATGGTACTAATCTTATGGGTTCACCATCATGTATTCAGTCCATTATTGATGAAAACATCATTGTGTAGCACATGACTGTATATACTCCACGTCACTTATTTTATATATATATATGTTTTCAGTCACAAGAAATAAAGAAAACACATCAAAATGGCAACTATAGTTAATGCTAAATGATGGAATTTGAGTACTTGTGATATTTATTTTGTTCATATTTTTCTATATTTTCTACAGTGACAATGTAATCTTTAATGATAAAATGAATAAATATTATTTAAAATTTTAATATTTAAAAAAGCCCTCCAGGGTTTCCAGTTTTCAGCAGAATAAAATCTAAATTACTTTATGTGGCACAGAGGCCTTCACAGTCTGTTCCCAGCCTGCCTTACCAATTTAATTATACACACTCTTCCCCTTTGAAGTAATTAAAATTTAATTATACGTTAAAATGTTTTTAAATTGCTGTAGCCCACCATAGGAGAATCTATTGTTTCTACAGTAGGTAATTTGGGGATTCATTTTTGAAGGCTGTATAGTTGTCAGATTATTACATTTTACCTCTTAATCTCTGACTTTGTGATTTTTAGGATGCTAGCCCTGTTGTAATTGAGCCATCATCTGTTCTGAATGGAGGAAAATATTCATTTGGAACAGCAGTACATCCCGTAGAGCAGAGTGAAGACAGAATCAGAGGAGGAAATCTCAGTTATGTGAGCCCCACAGAAGAGAAATTTTCAGACAACATTTCTACTGCATCCGAAGCCTCAGAAAACGCTGGCAGCAGTAAGTATGACTTGTGTCCTATGAGGTTTAGTCAGGGTCAGTTCTTAGCTGTTGTTGTTGTTGTTTTTGGTTTTTTTGAGGAAGATTAGCCCTGAGCTGACTACTGCTAATCCTCCTCTTTTTGCTGAGGAAGACTGGCCCTGAGCTAACATCCTTGCCCATTTTCCTCTACTTTATACATGGGACGCCTACCACAGCATGACGTGCCAAGTGGTGCCGTGTCCGCACCCAGGATCCTAACAGGTGAACCCCAGGCCGCTGAGAAGCAGAACGTGCGAACTTAGCCGCTTTGCTGCCAGGCCAGCCCTAGGGTCAGTTCTTAAAGGAGTATACTTCGTCAAAGAGTGTGCTTATGTTGCCCACAGCCGCAAAGGGCAAGGAATGACAGGTACCGCCAAGGCTACTTGGTTGTTTAAGCGATCAAAGTTTATTGATAAAGCGAAACAGAACAAGGAGCAAGGATAAAGGGGAACAACAAATCGGTACTTACAACATCCACACCACAGTCAGCCGGGGAAGTCCCAATAGTTTGTACGGCGGGTGGGAGTGCTGATTGTCCAGGTCTGAGGCAAAGCGTCCTTTCCTCAATGAGACTTCCGATTATTCTATGCCTGTGACTCCCTCTTATCGTAAGGTTTCTCTGGGTTTCGACTCAGGGTTTCAGACATTTGGATATTTTGAGTTATTTCTTCTTGTTCCCACAGCTGGGGTGTTTTTATCTTTTTTGTTCCCATGGATGGAATGTTTTTAAAGTCCTGTCAGGTGCCCTTCGGGGTGGCCAGCCCAGACAAGGAACATGACGCAGGATATATTTTTTGTAACTTATTGCTTAGAGTCAAGGCCAAAGTGGCCATCTTTGGCCCTGAGCCCAGACACATTCCTTTGTGTGGGGCCCAGGCCCAGTGTCCTTGGAAGGTGGTGGAGGGGATACATACTTATCAGAACCTACAGTGTGCTGACATGCCAACAAAATAATAGCACTAACCTAATACACGGACATTGAGTTCCTGTCTTTAAGCCTATTTATGTATAATAAAGAAAGAGGGTCACTGAACTCTGTACAGCTTGGTGGGATATTGAGCACCAGGCTCCCCTTCACAGAAGTAAGTTTTTAATGAAGTGGTCAATTATAAGATTCTTGAATGTGTTAGTAGCTTTCCAAAGAGAAGCTCTTCTATGTTCTACTTTATTAATCTCTCAATTTGAAAATATTTTCACCGATTTAGCTACATCTCTCCACATGAAGCTATTAAATTTAAATTTGTCAATAAATTTAAATTTGGGAAGGCAGTTTTTGAGAAAATCTAAATTTCCATCTCCAAGACTCTAACCATAAGCATACCTTCATTGAGTTGAATGTACCCTCATATCAGATTCTGCAGACATTTGGGGCCAGAATTTGGGGATTATTTGTTAAAATATTGAGAACGAATTCATAATGCTTCCCATAATTCCCCTTAGTCCTTGGTACCTACCTAAAACTTAATTGTTCTACGCTTGTGGGGAAGATGCTTTGGTGTTTTTGTGGCCCAACTGAATTGAGTTGATCCCTAATATTCAGCTGATACAGTAGCAGGACTCTCAGTCTTACCCTCTTCTTATTTCATTTTTGAGATCTTTTTTCCTTTTCTGTGGAGAGAGTAGGCAGATTGGACAGAGCTAGCATTTTCTCTACAGAACTCTTTGTAGAATCCACTGCTTCTCCTTCTCCATCTGACATTACAAAGATCACTTAGCGGTATCAGAAGTGCTCTCTGATTGGCTTTAACACCAAGATTATTTCTTCACTCCCTCTAAGGTCCTTATTGATATGTGCTCACTTTATAACTTGTGTTGTCCACAGGCTAAGCAGTGCCACAGATAGAAGGTTCAAGGTAACTGATGGCTAGAATGTTTACTTGAGATTAACATGTAGTTGAGAGTTGAAATACCTTAAAAAATGCCGTTGAGGTTCACAACTCTAAGTCATTATTAATCATTTTTCCATGTGTATTTTTCTATTGTAATTTTCATACCTTCCTTTCAAATAGATTTATTAGAATACAGTTTCTCCCTCCCCCCCTCCAGCACTCTTCTGTTGAAGTTCTTGTTTTAGCTCCTTCCCTTTGGTTTAGAGACTTCTTATCACTATTATCTACCAAGAACCTTAGGAATGTGTTTGCAGGTGGAAGAGAAGAATTAAGGGAGACTGTGTGAGATCCCAGCTACTTGGCCATGCTTTTTCCTTTCCCATCGGAGGATGTGTAATTCTTCTTGTGAATTATTAGATACTCTAGGAGGCTGGACAAATGTTCATTTGATAATAATTTGTAAAGCTTTTATTCTACCTAGCGTTAGGCTAGGTACTGTCCAGAAGGAAATACATCTTGATATCCTATCTTCTACATACTTATCAGAACCTACAGTGTGCTGACATGCCAACAAAATAATAGCACTAACCTAATACACGGACATTGAGTTCCTGTCTTTAAGCCTATTTATGTATAATAATGAAAAATAAAGAGATTCTATCCTCTTTTTCCTTACAGGCTTTCTGTATTCTGCCACACCAGCGGCAGATATATGCTTTGCTCGACAACATAACACTTCTGACAATAACAACCAGTGTTTGCTAGGGGCCAATGGGAATATTTTGTTGCACCTCAATCCTCAGAAACCAGGGGCTATTGATAACCAGCCACTGGTAACTCAAGAACCAGTAAAGGTAAGTAATTTGACATCTGTTTAAAATCATTCTGTTTCAAGTTGCTAATAAATTTCATTCTAGAGATTTTACCACACAGCAGAATGTTATGGTTCATTTAATTAACCTGTTGTTGTTGTGGATGGAAGTCTCTTTGCATAGTACATTTCTGTGAGAATATTTTATGATTTATTACTTGCATAGAAGGGTAGTGAGCCTTATAAATGCTGTTTCTACTTAGGACAGCTACTGTGAAAATGTAGCTTCATATGTATATGGAATTTATTTTTTCCAAAATAATGTTTTTTATTGTTTGAAAGAAATCTGTGAAAACCAGTCTTATTATTTCCAGATGCTCCAGTGATTTTTTTTCAAATGATTTGCCTTGAATTCCCTTTCTTAAATAGTTTATTTAAAAAATTAAACATAAAAATCTCCTTTAGAAAATTCCTTTTTTCCAGTAACATGAAACAATAGTGACATATGTTTGTTCTTCTGTGTCTAGGTTTTGTTAAAACACAAGACACTGTAATGTTACAAATTAACAGTTACATTCCATTCTTTCTAAGGCTACATCATTAACACTAGAAGGAGGACGATTAAAACGAACCCCACAGCTGATCCATGGAAGAGATTATGAAATGGTCCCAGAACCTGTGTGGAGAGCACTTTATCATTGGTATGGAGCAAACCTGGCCCTACCTAGACCTGTAAGTATAGCTAATAGTGTCTTATATAAGGAGCAGTCCTAGATGCGGTCTTCTATTACTTTTCTACATGAACCTTACTATCCACAGATTAGTTCTTACCTATGATAACAGGAGTACTCAGTACCTGTTCAAATTAGTTGAACAGCTTTAAGGTTCCTTCACGTTCATTCATTTATTCATACATTTATTGAGCACTGTATTAGGTACCAGCCATACAATGATGTGCCTGTGGGAGTGGATGTCTTATATGGAGTGAAGGGTAAATATGGAGTGGACTAAATAAAGTCAAGGAATTATGAGGTTAAGCTATTAAGTCATGCATATAAATGCAGACGTTAGGATAATGCAGGACTTAGGCTGGAACAGAAGTCTGAGAGCCACTGCTGAAAAGTTCAATGAATGTGGGACAGGTAGTGCAGAGGTTACTTCTGAAACTATTATTCCCATTAACCATACAGGCATCCAGTTAGGGATCAGGTTCATCTTGTAGCTGCTGGTGGATTCTTTGTGGTTTGTCTTTTTGAAGGAGAAAGATATAGATTATAATATGTGGTAACAGGAATTCAAAGTTAATGAATTCTGATTGTTGCCGTTATTAGAATGTCACAGCTTAAGTAGAATGCTCTAAAATAATTTAAAGGACTTAGAGTATGTAATATCAAAATATTAGTAAGTTAACTATGCTTCATTTGTTGAATTTATACAGTAAACAGTAGGACTCCCTGAATACTCTTTACATTGTCAATGCAGTAAAATACTTATAAGAAGATTCTTTTGGTATATCAAGAAACGTTCTCCCTTATGTAATATCCAAGCCAGAACTTTTTTTTTGTTTTTTTAAGATTGGCATCTGAGCTAACAACTGTTGCCAATCTTTTTTCTTTTTTTTCTTCTCCCCAAAGCCTCCCAGTACATGGTAGTGTATTCTAGTTATGAGTGCCTCTGGTTGCGCTATGTGGTGCTATGTCCATGCCCAGGATCCAAACCAGTGAAACCCTGGGCTGCCGAAGCAGAGCATGCGAACTTAACCACTGGGCCATGGGGCCAGCCCTAGAACTTTCTTATACTAGGAAAATTTTGCATAGATGAGATATAAAACCTTCGTCTGTAATTTTGACATTGATTTTGAATTTTTAATAATTACGTTTATTCAAAATTATGCTTAGGGCTAGCCTTGTGGCCGAGTGGTTAAGTCTGCGCGCTCTGCTGCCCCACTGCCCAGGGTTTTGCCACTTCGGATTCTGGGTGTGGACATGGTACCGCTCATCAGGCTATGCTGAGGCAGCTTCCCAGATGCCACAACTAGAAGGACCCGCAACTAAAAATACACAACTATGTACCGGGGGGCTTTGGGAATAAAAAGGAAAAAAATAAAATCTTAAAAAAAAAAATTATGCTTAAGTTGGAATCAGGAATTTAGGATTTGTGTTTGTTGACTCCAAAAGGTTCCTACTGTATTTGACATCAGGACTCCTAGATAGATACATATAAATATGAATATAAATTGATACATATACTATATTATATTCTTCTTTATTTATTGGGGTAGCCCTTGAGTTAGTCACTTAATTCCTGGGACTTTCCTCCTTTGTCTTAATATTCTATATCTGTAGGAGGAAAATTGTGATAATTGTGTTTAATGTAGATATAGTTTTATTTATTAGAGCCTGCCTGGATTCAGATTTCCAGTGTTCTAATCTCTAAATCTTAGTTTCCTCATCTGTAAAATAGAGATAACAATAATATCTACCTCATTAGAGTTGTTTTGATAATTAAATAGTACATACAATTAGCACAGCATCTGATTTACAGTAAATGGTCAATAAATGTTGACTGTTGCTACTGTCATCATCATCATCCTCATTATAATTAAATGAGTTTTTTCAGAGTGTCACAGAAAGGTCGTGTTTTTTACATTGATGTTAGACGAGTGTTAGTTAAGTAAACTATAATTTTACCAGATTAAAGCTTTGTTTGCTGGCTTGACAGTATTTTCTCATCTCTAAATATGATAAATTTGCCTGATTTCAGGAAAAATTGCTGTAGAAACATTTGAAATAGGGCTTTCCCAGTTAGAGAATCCTGAATATATTTGCCATGGAATGGTTAAAAATGAATGCTTTCACCCTCATACTTACATAAATCATGCCATTTAAGGAAATGGCTGTATTTTATTTGCACATGTCATACATAACCTAATGATAAATTAAGCAATATGGAAAAAACAAAGAAGAAAATAAAAATCATGCCATTTCCTGCTACTTAAGAGATAACCACTATTTAACAGTTTGGTGTGCATTTTTTCAAACATTCCTTTGTGTCTTTTCATATACATGTATAGATATGTGGATAATTTTATAAAATTGAATCATATTATACCTGATGTTTTGTAATCTCCTGTTTTCAGTCTAATATAGATGCCATGGATATCTTTCTAGGTTAATAAATTTAGATCTATACTATTTTTAATAATTGCATAATGTTCCTTTATATACCTTGCATACATATACACATGCATGTGTACATAAATCATAATTTATTAACCAGTCACCTACTGAGGGACATTTGGTTTGCCCCCAGCTTTTAGTTGTTTAAAACAATTTTCTAGTGAACATTCTCTTTCCAAACATGTGTGATAATCTCTTTAAGGTAAATTCCTGTAAATGGAATTGCATCTATTGTTTGCTGGTTGTCATTAAGGTAACAAGTTAATAGATGAGAATAACTAAAATGTAAAAAAGATATGTGTTTATGTATGTTTGTGCCTGTATGTATAAGAATTTGTTAATTTGCTCACAAAATCACTTATCATCTTGGAAAGCAAGATGCATATTATAAAAACTACTTCATTACCAGTTCAGATTCTGCCAAAGGTTTTGTTTTTATGTAGCCTGACAACGACAGATCCTAAATTATTAATCTTCCCCCAAATCACTGAAACTGAAATCATAAAAATTATGGTTGGCTTTGCAGCTGTCAGTGTCTACCTAGAAGTGGACGTCCAGACTTTGTTTTCTTCCAGTGATTTTAGAGGAGAGTGGCAGGGAGAGCTCTTTTTACTGCTTACCATTTAAATAGGAGTTGAAAAAGCTCCCAAATAGAGCTTTCTGAGTGCCATACTGTAGCATATCAGAATGTGTGGAATACTCTTAAGAAATACTCCTAAAGACTTGGTTTGTAGCGGTTGTGTTTATTTGCTTCTTTACTACCCCTTCTTCTTTTTGTTCTTTTTTTAAAGATTGGCACCTGAGCTAACATCTGTTGCCAATCTTCTTTTTTTCCTGCTTTTTCTCTGGGAATCCCCCCAGTACATAGTTGTATATTCTAGTTGTAGGTCCTTCTGGTTATGCTATGTGGGACGCCTCCTCAGCATGGCTTGATGAGCAGTGCTGTGTCCATATCCAGGATCCGAACTGGCAAAACCCTCGGTCACCTAAGTGGAGCGCACGAACTTAACCACTTGGCCATGGGACTGGCCCCTACTGCCCCTTTTTGATATTAAAAAATGCTGTTAAAGAAGACGTTGGTTACTAGGGCAAAGGGAAGTAAAATAAAGCCTGATCACTTGAAACCACTGAAGATTCTGTAGGATTTTATGTTTTAAAGCGTTTGAGTGTTAACCTTGCTATCCTTTTGAAATACTAAATTGATAATGTGCTACTCTTAAAAGTCTTGAAGCACTATTTTGATAATGAAGTCTTTTCATGTGTCTTTGGGCTGGCAAGCAGGATGTTGGAAGGGTTCTGAAAAATCCTGCTTCAATGTGAATCCCAGTTTTGGACATCCAGTGTAGTTGTTTTTTGTTTGTTTTTAAGATTGGCACCTGAGCTAACAACTGTTGCCAATCTTCTTTTTTTTTTTTCCTGCTTTTTTTTTTTCTCCCCAAATCCCCCCAGTACATAGTTGCATATTTTAGTTGTGGGTCCTTCTAGTTGTGGCATGTGGGATGCCGCCTCAACATGGCCTAATGAGTGGTGCCATGTCCGCGCCCAGGATCCAAACCCTGGGCCGCCAAAGCAGAGTGCACAAACTTAACCACTCGGCCATGGGGCCAGCCCTCAATGCAGTTGTTTTAATCATAGACAAAAAATGTTTGAAGAGGGGCCGGCCCTGTGGCCGAGTGGTTAAGTTCTCGCACACTGCTTTGGCAGCCCAGGGTTTCGCCAGTTCGGATTCTGGGCGTGAACATGGCACTGCTCATCAGGCCATGCTGAGGCAGCGTCCCATATACCACAACTGGAAGGACCCACAACTAAAAATACACAACTATGTACTGGGGGGCTTTGGGAGAAAAAGAAAAAATAAAATCTTAAAAAAAAAAAAAAGACAACATTTGAACAGACCAGTTATCTAGAACCATAGATAGTAAATTTTATCAAAACATTTTTATCCTCACTTATACAAGAAATAAAATTTTAAGCAAAGTTACAATACTCTTTATATGTATTAAAGAAGCACAGTATTTTTTTCCCCTGCTTTTTGTCCCCAAATCCCCCAAGTACTTAATTGTATATTTTAGTTGTGGGTCCTTTTAATTGTGGTATGTGGGATGCTGCCGCAACGTGGCCTAATGAGCAGTGCCATGTCCGCGCCCAGGATCTGAACCAGCAAAACCCTGGGCCGCCGAAGTGGAGTGCATGACCTTAACCACTCGGCCATGAGGCTGGCACCTGAAACAGGGTATTTTTAAATGATGTCCAATGATAAGGTTTTATGAGAATAGTACATTCATACGTTTCTGGGGATATTGCAAATTACTACACTTTGGGTGGCGATATGACTTTGACATGAATACTTCCATACTTTTTGATTTGTAACTCCAGTCCTAAGAATTTATCCTTTAAAAGACCATCATTTATATAAATGAAATATGTAAAAGTGAAAAGAGTTGTGATGTGAGGGTAGTAGATAATATGTAAGATTTTTTCCCTTAATTTTGATGTTACTTGCTTTTAAATGAAAGGGGAGAAAATGCCCACCAGGAGTTCTAATCTTGGAAGATAGATTTAGGAGCAGGAGCCTGAGAGTATATAAACCCATGTAATTTAAATCTATGAATTTCTATAATCTAACTGAAATATAGGTAGTGAACCTATTAGACATTTTAGTTTAAAAATAAATCTCAGAAGTTAAATAAAAGTGGCAAGTTTTGTTTATTCTTTTATAGTGATCACTGTGTCTTTTAAAATAACAGGTGATCAAGAATAGCAAGACAGAAATCCCAGAGCTGGAATTATTTCCTAGGTATCTTCTCTTCCTGAGACAGCAGCCTGCCACTCGGACACAGCAGTCTAACATCTGGGTGAATATGGGTATGATGAGCCTGAGAATGTTTCCTCAGCATTTACCAAGAGGTAATTTAAGAATGCAGCAAGAATACCATGCATTTCCTTAAAAAAAAAAAAACCAAGTTGCTCAAGTCTGGTGCCACTGTACTAGTACACATTCCCATCTGGTTTCATACAGAATCAGTAAATTACTTGTGGGGCTTAGATCTATGGTCATGCGCAAGACTAGATGGGCTAGAGCCAAAATCTCAGCAGCAAACTGCGAAGGGTTGTTTCCTTTTCTGGTTTGTAAACATACAAAGATAACAAACAGCAATGAATTTCACAAACTTTATTTCTTTGAGAACAAGTGACTATAAATTATTTGCTTGACCTAAGTTAGAGTCTACCAGTCAATGACTGGTCTTGTCAGCTCCACTCAAATTTCTAAGGAGTGATTTCTTTGACAATTTATCATCTTTTTTGTTTACTTTTCGGTATTTTTTTGACAAAACATGATACATTTCTCATGCTACGTCCAAAGAGCCTTTATAAGAGACAGATAATACAGAGCAAAGGATATATTTTTGAAAATGAAAGTGATACATTTGCTTTGAAAAACATCAGGCTATCAAAATGACATATAAATTACATGCAAAAAGTTCTCCTTTGATTTCTCTATGAGGTTAAATTTTATTGATGGTCAAGATTTGCTCTGTGCTTTTGCGTTGGCAAATATTTGAAATTGTTCTTCAGCAGAAATACTGAGGTTATCCATTTACACAAAGTCTCGGACTTTGTGTTAATGCCAAAATGTTATAATTAATATAACTTAGTATGCAAGAACTACCTATGAACCCAAACCAACCCTATAAGTACCATCCCTCCTTTGAAATTGAATAGGGTTAATTTTATGTCTTCCTTAAAGGTTATATTCAGATAATATATGGGGATTCTTATACATATTGTTTGGTAAGAATTATAGGACAGCAGTGGCCTCTGCCTCACCAAACTTTGTCTTTGGGGGAAATATCAAAATCAAGGAACAGTGAAATAGAATCTCTATGAAACATTCTTGATTTGATTTTCCATTGAATAAAAGTGTTTGCCTTATTTCCGTGGCATCCATAGCACATATCTTTTTCGATTCTTTTTGAAAGATAACATGAGAGGCAAGATGTGTTGTTGCACTTTTAGTAAGTATTCTTTGTAACTCTTGTGCTGATCCTAGATTTTTGCTGCTTCTGTAAATTCCACTAGATTTGTTGGTGCTATTCAAAAGCACAAAATTTTGTGTAATAATAAGTGGCCGCCTGCTTAATGAGCTATGCTAAAACTGTCTAGAATTCAAATAAATTTCTTATGTGGCTTAGGATGATAGAAATTGACTTGGACATTACGCATCCAAATGCTTCTGAATCCTAGAACTGGGTAGTTGTTCTCCAAATTTGTTCTTAATTTGAAATTTTATTCCTTAATAATTAGTTGTGGAATCAATCATTAATCATTTTGAAGTTTTTGAAAATGTACTTTCTTGCTGTAATCTTATAACTAATCCTCTGATGTATGATTGGGGAAATTTGCTCTTTTGTTTCTTTTAGGGATTATCCTTTGCTTGCTTATTGTAAAAGATTTGCTTTGCTGTGTGTTTAAATTGTTCATGGTTGGGTTTCATTCTGTCATAACACAGTTTTCATTTTTCTCATTACTCAACTTACTACAGCTGTTTACTAGGCTCTTTTATTCCTTTTGAAGTGGACAGATATACAACCTTTGCCACAGTTACAATGACTTAAATGTAGCCTTTTCGACAGACAAGCCTATAGAAGTTGTTTCTTAGATGATTTTTCAGTCTATTTAAGCAAGTGAATTGTTTTTGGAAGCTCTAAAAAAGCGGATGATGCCAGTACTTTTCTCCACTTTGTTTAGTAGATGAAGACTCACTTAAAGCGCATTTAATGGGAGGAAAAAACTAAGTCACCATTGAATGGGTATAAAACTACCTGCAGTGTATAAAATTGTACCCTAGACAGATTGTATTGATATGTTAAGTTTATTTTTGTTTTGGGTTGCTCAATACCTCCCATAGGCAGAGAGAACCATTTTAAGGTACAGCTTTTGTCTGGATTTTTGGCTGATTAGTTAACCAGGGTTTAGCAGATTGTTTTACCAACCTATCCATGATTTTCATAATCTCTTGTCATTTCATCCCCCTTCTCTTTTGAAGTACAGTCATGTGTTGCTTAATGACAGGAATACATTCTGAGGAATGCATTGTTAGGTGATTTCATCATTGTGTGAACATCATAGAGTGTACTTACACAAACTTAAGTGGTTTAGCCTACTACATATGTAGGCTACGTTGTACTAAAAGGACCACCATCATATACGTGGTCTGTCGTTGATCAAAATGTCAGTAATGTGATGTGTGAATGTATGTGGTTAGACTTAATATGTTCTTCCTTCACTCTTTACTCTTTCTCCTTATTGCCCCTCTTTTTGTTTCCACCTTAAGCCCTTCAGGAATTCAAGGTCATGTCTTCTGTGATCTTATTGGGCAGGCAGGCCATATGATGATTTTTTTCCCTCTCCTACCTTTCAGTGGGCAATTTCTTTTTCATGGGAAGCTTCTTGGCTTCATTTTAAAGCTCTGTTTGGCCATGTAGAGTCTATGCCTAAATTTTTTGTGTGTAATTGTACCACTATGCTAGGTAATTGGGCCAATTAAGTACAGAATGGTGGAATTAGTAATTCAAAGACAGTTTATTTTAAGAAAGTGGATCAGGTGAATCCAGTTATCTATCTGTGGAATTCAAATCCTGTCCCATTTTATGTTACCCCTTCTTACACTGAGTTTTGATTTTGCTATTGAGTGTGACCCAACTGAGGGCAGCTAAAATACCAGTGCCTGTTGTTAATATTTGCCACTCATCGTAGGATCCAAATACCGCCAGTTATTTGGGCTTTATGACTTTGTTGCTCTTCCTTTCAAAGTTTGGCTCACTCTAAGGTATTTAGGTCTCCTGTCTTCATTTTAAAGCTTCTTAATATATAAAATTATTAAACCTGTAATTCTCATTTCTCATCAATATTTCCTAAAATAGTATGATCTCCATTGCTAAGAGGGGTGTTGTTTTGTTTTTTTTACATCTGCCTTCTTCCTTATTGTGATTACTATGACCATAGGAAATGTACCTTCTCCGAATGCACCATTAAAGCGGGTCTTAGCCTATACAGGCTGTTTTAGTCGAATGCAGACCATCAAGGAAATTCATGAGTATCTATCTCAGAGGCTGCGCATCAAAGAAGAAGATATGCGCCTGTGGCTGTACAACAGTGAGGTAAGAGGCATCTCAGAGTCCTGAAGAGTCCTGATGAAGTGTTAAATCCATATTTCATGAGTCTGGGGTTTTTGTCTACAGTAATTATCCTGAAAGCCATATCTAGGATCTCAGTGGAAACGTCAATTTTTAAATTACTGCGTGTATACATGTAGATATTTGTCACCTGAAATCTGTAATAACAGTTGATCATCATCTTGTGAAGATTATTGTTATAAAGTACCTGCACATAGCTTTTTTTTTAACTGAATAGAGTTTATTTTGGATTTATTTTAAGGTAAATTATACACGTTAAAAAAAATTCAAACAATACAAAAGTATATAGTGAAAATTCTTTCTTCCCATCTGCCGACCCCTAAGTATCACTCTCCTCAGAGGCAGAGATGTTAATTGCTTGTATACTCTTCCTAACGTATGCAATATGTCTTCAGATTATACTCTGAAATTGGATCATAAGTAGTTTCAAGGAGTTCTCTATTCCGTTCCTTCTTAAGTCCTCCTTTGGTCACCACTGAGAGGCAGTATAGTGTAGTAGTTCAGAACACAGCTCCTGGAGCCACATTGCAGGGATTAAATCCTAGCTCTTGTGAGTTGTGTAACCAAGAGCAATTCACTTAACTCTCTGTCTCAGTTTTCTCATGAGTAAATGGGGAAAATAATAGTTTCTCCCTTGGGGTAGTTGTGAGAATTAAATGAATTAATTTTGTGAGCACTTTGGACAGAGTGAGCATGAACAAAAATATATATAATTCTACTGCATGGCATTAGGTTTTACATTTTCAGCTCCTAGTAAGTGATCAAGTTCCATCTTAATCACAGGCACATTTACTGAATTTCATACTAGGTGCTAAAGAAAATTTATTTTCTATAACCTCTTTAGAAAATCTAAATCTTGGGGCCAGCCCCGTGGCGCAGCAGTTAAGTTTGCACGTTCCGCTTCGGTGGCCCGGGGTTCACTGGTTCAGATCCTGGGTGCGGACATGGCAGCACTTGGCAAGCCATGCTGTGGGAGGCGTCCCATGTATAAAGTGGAGGAAGATGGGCATGGATGTTAGCTCAGGGCCAGTCTTCCTCAGCAAAAAGAGGATTGGCAGTGGATGTTAGCTCAGGGCTAATCTTCCTCAAAAAAAAAAAAAATCAGAAAATCTAAATCTTGATGAATTTTGGTTTGACGTGTGATGAATCTTCTTCTGGTCTCCCCAAAATTCTATATAACTTTGCTTTAGAAACATAATGTATATGTTTATGAAGTATACATTATTTATGAAGTATACATTATTTTTCTCTCATTTTGCCAACTAAATTATAAATATTTCTAAACAACTATAATATGCCAAATATCTGTCACATGAGTTATGTAACTACAAGGGCATTTTTAATTGTCATTCATTTTTATTTCCGTATTTGTTTCAAGTTTAGTAATCAATTAACAAAAACATTTCCTCTTCTATACACAGAATTACCTTACTCTTCTGGATGATGAGGATCATAGATTGGAATATTTGAAAATCCAGGATGAGCAGCACCTGGTAATTGAAGGTACAAGATGGAAGTATGCATCTATATTAGATTTTTAGGGGAAGAATTTAAAGATTTATTTACTCACTAATAATCCATTTTATAATTTTTCCAACTATTATTCGATCATGTATTCTTTATGGTAAAGAAAACCCATCAAACCCTTTAGTTATAAGTTTACAAAGTTTCTTAAAATTTTCAGGCTGCCTTTTTGAGTTTGAGTAAAGGGACTAACTTTCTGCATAGTTAGTGGCATGGGCTTTCATTAGTCATCAACACTGGACTTTCTTGTATATTCACACATAGATTTACACACTAGCATGCACATGTCATTGAAAACTAAAACCATGTCTTCTCCCATCAAGATTCATGAAATTTATATAATGTTGTAAACCAGTGTTACCTCAAAAAAAAAAGATTCATGGAAACATTGCTAGCTTCTTTTGTATTAAAATGAATAGATTACTCTGACAGCTGTCACAGTTTAAAAAAGAATTGTAATAGTTCTAATATGTTAAGTTTAAAAGCTTTAATTACTTCTATAGATGGTTGAGTATAATTTTATTTTCAGGTAGGTAATTGAGAGAATAGCTCACTAATTAATTCTGACCAAGTAACTATAAAGTCACCAATATGAAGAGTTGGAATCGTTTCAGAGTCAGTTACTCAAATTAACTTGATTTGTTTCAGTTTCTGATTTAGAAATGAGTGCTTTTTTGTTCTTTTTAAACAGAAGCAATTGAGTGGGTATGATTTGAATGGATAAGAAATTAATACATTCCTATCTGTCTTTCCAGTTCGCAACAAAGATATGAGTTGGCCTGAGGAAATGTCCTTTATAGCAAACAGTAGTAAAATAGATAGACACAAAGGTAAGTCTCCAGTGTATTACATTTAAAGAGATTATCTTAAATGTATTCTTTTTTTTCTCTCAACTATTAAAGTGTTAGAACTTTAGCTTTCTAGTTTAAAAGTGATTATGCCCCCTCTTATTTTTCTTTTTCCTGAAGCAGGAAAACTTCTTTCTAACCTTGCATTTAAATAATTTATATATTTTTAAAGACCTAATGCTAAGAGAGAATTGTTTGATTTCTATGAAGCTATCGTGGCAATTAAAGAGAATCACTGCCGCTTCTAGATTATAGATGAGCATGGATTATCATGATTGCCAATGACACTGCGTGAAAAACCTTCCCCATTTTAGCTTTGAAAGACAAAGTAGAGAAATATGAGCTCCATTTAGCTGATTAGAAGAATTATAAAAATCACTGCATCGAATACAAGTAACTGTTTATCTTACTACAGCTAGGCTTCGGTTCTCATATTGTTTGTTCCAGTTCCCACAGAAAAGGGAGCCACAGGTCTGAGTAATCTGGGAAACACATGCTTCATGAACTCAAGCATCCAGTGTGTTAGTAACACACAGCCACTGACACAGTATTTTATCTCAGGGAGACATCTTTACGAACTCAACAGGTAATCTTTCTCGAGTCATCAGCCTCTTAACCTTTTATAACTTTGAAATGAACCAGTATCACCTAATTGTCCTCTTCCTTCACCATGGGGGGGGGGGGAGTCTTATCTTACTTGCCCTATTTAGTATGAAATAAGGGCCTAGGGATACTTCTCTTGTTTTGTTTTTTTTTTTAAGATTTTATTTTTCCTTTTTCTTCCAAAGCCCCCCAGTACATAGTTGTGTATTTTTAGTTGTGGGTCCTTCTAGTTGTGGTATGTAGGATACCACCTCAGCATGGCTTGATGAGCGGTGCCATGTCCACACCCAGGATTCAAACTGGCAAAACCCTGGGCTGCTGAAGCAGAGCCACTCAGCCACAGGGCTGGCCCCAGATACTTCTCTTGTTTTAAAAAAAAATTTGATGTGAGAAAATAGATGCTAGGCTTTTCTGTGCCCACGTGATTGTGATTTATAAGAATCTTTGGCAATAAATTTTCCTCTCAAACCTCTAGGACAAATCCCATTGGTATGAAGGGGCATATGGCTAAATGCTATGGGGATTTAGTACAAGAACTTTGGAGTGGAACTCAGAAGAATGTTGCGCCATTAAAGCTTCGGGTAAGCGGGTTAAAATAATATAAAAGTATTTTAGTCTCAAGCAGTTGTTTAAGTAACTATTTTTCTCTACATGTTTTTTGTTGTTGTTGTTGTTTTAATTTTAAAGGAAGAGTGGTCCACACTTGAGGGTGGCTCATCTTCTTTTTTTAAAGATTTTTTAATTTTTTTCCTTTTTCTCCCCAAAGCCCTCTGGTACATAGTTGTATATTCTTTGTTGTGGGTCCTTCTAGTTGTGGCATGTGGGACGCTGCCTCAGCATGGTTTGATGAGCAGTGCCATGTTGACACCCAGGATTCGAATCAACGAAACACTGGGCCGCCTGCAGCGGAGCATGTGAACTTAACCGCTTGGCCACAGGACCAGCCCCTCTCTACGTGTTTTTTATGTTTAGCTTTTTAGTTTTAGTTTAATGTTTTTGGATCTTTCACTAGGCATAAATTGGATGTCAAATACTTGTTCAAATATATGCATAATACTGCTATAGATGTAATGGGTAGGAAAGGATCAAAGCCACAGTCTAAATTTGGGGTATCATTCATTTTACTAATTTATCAGATATCTTACTTTTATATATAGTAAACCTTTCTTTGTTAATTCTTCGTTATTAGAAGTATACTAACTGCAGGGTAGACCTCTGAGTCTAATGAATAATACTCAATACATTTTTAACATTACTAGGATAATTAGTTCTATCTGTAGAATTAAAAAGCAAAAAGAAAGCATGTAATTAATGGATACAAATTTTACATTAATATTGTATGTAGTGAGTTTTATTGAAATTAGGATTATTTTTTATCTTTATTTAAAAACACAAGGCAAAAGCTTTTTAGGTTAAAAATTAATAATCATACTCATAATAGCTAAAAATTTGATTCCTTGCCACTTACCAGGCACTATTCTAATTACTTTATGTGTATTAACTCATTTAATTTCCTAAATGGCTCTGTAATGTAAAGCAATGTTATTATCCCCATTTTATGGCTCAGGAAACTAAGACTCAGAGCAGTTAAATAGCTTGCCCAAGGTTGCAGGCTAGTTAGTAAATCCTCACAGTTAAACATGATGCTATTCTGCCTCTGATAATAAACGTTAGGATACAAGACCAGAAAAATTAATGTAACAGGAAATCTTTCAGTGTGAGCAAATGCTATTTTAATAGTCTTATCTGTCTTAAATATCTTTTGTGTACCTAAAGAACTGTTTGCTTATATGCTGCTGAATTGGGATACAGTATTGGCCAAAATACTTTAGGGTTTTTTGGGGGGTTGTTTTTGGTTTTTTTTTAAGATTTTATTTTTTTATTTTTCCTTCCCCCAAAGACCCCCGGTACATAGTTGTGCATTTCTAGTTGTGGGTCCTTCTAGCTGTGGCATGTGGGACACCGCCCCAGCGTGGCCTGATGAGCAGTGCCATGTCCGTGCCCAGGATTTGAACCGGTGAAACCCTGGGCCGCCAAAGCAAAGCACGAACTCAACCACTCGGCCACGGGGCTGGCCCCAATACTTTGTTTTTCTTTTGAGATTAGGAGTAGAAGGATTTCATGATTATCCAAAATATATTTGCTGAAATAGAGACAGACTATCTACTATACTATTTACCTTCTTATAATGCCTCTGCTTGAATTACGGGGCATGTTCTTTCCAAATTTTACGGGGCAGCGAATAATGAGTTTGATTCCTCTTATATTTATAGTGGACTATAGCAAAATATGCTCCCAGGTTTAATGGGTTCCAGCAACAAGACTCCCAAGAACTTCTGGCTTTTCTCTTGGATGGTCTTCATGAAGATCTCAACCGAGTTCACGAGAAGCCGTATGTGGAACTGAAGGACAGTGATGGCCGACCAGACTGGGAAGTAGCTGCAGAGGTTTGTCAGTTTTGAGTTTCTAAGTAAGCAATAGATAAAATGTTCTGGCCAAAAATGTGTGTTGCACAACTTAATGCTAACTGAACTATTCTGTGATCAGAATTTTACTGTGAAAATAAAGGAATTTATATTTCTCTGCTTAATTCATGTGCAGGAATGCCAAAATAAAGCACCCTTAATGAAAATAAAAAAATGTTGTATTTTCACATTGTAAACTTTTAGGAGAGGATGTAGGAATAATTATTCAGTAGAACTTCTAGAGTCCCTATAATTGCTAATGTGTACAGTGACAAATAGACATATTTTATCTGCTTTTTAATGGACAAAGAACTTTAAAACTCATGAGTGTTACCATGGTAAGAACAAAGAAAAAATTAGGATTGTCCATCTGAACTTAATATTTTATAGGTTGAGCAGAATCACATTCTATTTAATAATTGGTTTTCTCTGTTATCTTAGCAGGCAATAAATTTTAAATTACAAATCCGAATTGTAAATTTGTAGGCAGTCTGCTTTTACATTTTAAGTGAAGATTGAGGATTATATCCTTGATATTTAAATCCAATATATTTAACCAGTCTCTTTGAATTTGTGTAGAAATACTTAGTTTTGGAATTTTGAAAAAAAATTCTCCAATCTTTTTCCTTGCTAGGCCTGGGACAACCATCTGAGAAGGAATAGATCAATTGTTGTGGATTTGTTCCATGGGCAGCTAAGGTCCCAAGTCAAATGCAAGACATGTGGACATATAAGTGTTCGATTTGACCCTTTCAATTTTTTATCTTTGCCACTACCAATGGACAGTTATATGCACTTAGAAATAACAGGTAGGTCACAAAGTTCTGAAAAACTATTTAACTTCATTGTCTTTTACCTTATTCAAGCAGCTTGAATTTTAAGTATGGTCATTTGTTTATAATACATTCTCATAAAGACTGGTAGTCAGCGTGTTATAATCTACCAATCTAATTTCAGGCATGATTTGAGATTTGAAAGACTTGTAACGTGGGTCCATTTTTGTACCCATTGATTCCTCTGTTAGCTGCAGGCGTCCCAGAAACTCACTTTACAATCTTGCAAAGCCACTCACACTTCTGTATGAGATGAACATCAAAAAATAATGATTTTGGGACCAGCCCCGTGGCCAAGAGGTTAAGTTCGCACTCTCTGCTTCAGTGGCCCAGGGGTTCACTGGTTTGAATCCTGGGTGCAGACATGGCACTGCTCATCAAGCCATGCTGAGGCGGCATCCCACATGCCACAACTAGAAGGACCCACAACTAAAAATACACAACTGTGTACTGGGGGGCTTTGGAAGAAAAAGGAAAAATAAAATCTTTTAAAAAAAATAAAATCATGATTTCATTTAATATTATCCTTAAGTACCATCTGTTGTAGCATTTACCTATAAAAATAAAAATTCTAGCTGATGAGGCCAGCCCGGTGGCGCAGCAGTTAAGTTTGCATGTTCCGCTTTGGCGGCCTAGTGTTCACAGGTTCAGATCCCAGGTGCGGACATGGCACTGCTTGGCAAGTCATGCTGTGGTAGGCATCCCACATATAAAGTAGAGGAAGGTGGGCATGGATGTTAGCTCAGGGCCAGTCTTCCTCAGCAAAAAGAGGAGGACTGGCAGCAGTTAGCTCAGGGCTAATCTTCCTCAAAAAAAAAAATTTAAAAATTCTAAGCTGAAATGTTTGCTATTTCCAAGTCATAGACACCCCTACGCACACACACATGCACACAGACACACGGTGTAAAGCTTTCAATGAAACCCGCATTTTACTGACAAAAGATTGTTTATCTTTACTAGTTATTAAGTTGGATGGTACTACCCCTGTGCGATATGGACTAAGACTGAATATGGATGAAAAGTACACAGGTTTAAAAAAACAGCTGAGTGATCTCTGTGGACTTAAATCAGAACAAATCCTTCTTGCAGAAGTACATGGTTCCAACATAAAGGTAATATTAACTATTCTTTCTAGGAAACCTGATTCCATCCTCCAAAGATCACAGTTTTCTTAATTAATTATTATATTAAAACACAACAAAAACTAAACAAAAAAAAATTGTCAAGTTCTCAGTCTCAGAAACTTAGAAGGCTTGGCTACCAGAATAAAGGAATAATGTTGATAGTGGTATTTTTAAACAAGGGAAATATGTAAGCCCACGACTGCCAAATGGAGTGATCTAGCTATGTCATTACAGTGTGGGTTCCCCTCAGAGACTCTGCTGCTGCTACACTTGACAGCTCTTCTTTATTACCACTGTCAGTAGAATTCTTCCTAGGTTAAAATATTTCATATGTTTATGAGTGTGTGCTTTCAGTATCTATTTATGAATGTAAATACCTGACCTTTTGGCACACTGAGAAGTTAGAGAGTAAGGACAAATTGACACAAATCACTTCTTCCTGCATACCAGCTGGAGAAACAAGCAATTTAATAAATATATTGCCTACCCTAAATTGAGTTCCTACCATTGGTATTATTTATATTCATCTTTAGAGTTTCTGAACAGACTCCCACCTCATTGACCTTTTTTTCATATGTAATACAAGGGTGAGATCTCTGAGAGTTTTGGGTTTAGATGCTTGAAATGAAGGACAAAACTTAAGTCAACTATGTACAATGTACTTCCTTCCTTGGAAAGGGATAACGGTTTTGTCAGTAAGGTTACTTTATCAAGCTTCTATCTTCTAGTTACTTGAAAAATTATTTAGTCATGTTTGTTTTACTGATGAAAGCATCTAAGACATTCATTTCAAATATATCAGAGAGATGATTTTTCATTTTATCTGGAACATCTCTCCCTTCTCATCTTGCCTCTTTTTCTGTAGAATTTCCCTCAGGACAACCAAAAAGTACGACTCTCAGTGAGTGGATTTTTGTGTGCATTTGAAATTCCCATCCCTGGATCTCCAATTTCAGCTTCTAGTCCAATACAGACAGGTAAGATAGAACTAGAGCTCCTTCTCATGTTTTCAGCTTTAAATGTTGGTCCAAGTGTTGTCGTCTTTTTTATATTTGTATTAGAGCAAAAGAATTTTGGAGCCTGAAAGAAACCTTGGTGATCATTTGTCTCAACTTCCTTATTTTATAGATGAGGAAACTAAAATTTAGTGAACCTAAGTGACTAAGTTAGGTAGATAGTTGTTAGCTAAATCCATCACTGGAATTCAGATCTCTTTTAACCCTTTTATCTAATACTAAATGCAACAGATGGTATGAGAGAAGTATACTATCAGAAAACAAAAAAATAAAATATGACTAAAAAGGAATCTGTTTATCTGATATTGCATGTGCTTTAATATGATCATTCAGTGACTCTTTTTGGCCATTAATATGATTTGTCTATTCTTCGTCGTCATCTCTTTTTTTTTTGGTGAGGAAGATTGGCTCTGAGTTAACATCTGTTGCCAATCTTCCTCTTTTTGCTTGAGGAAGATTGTTGCTGAGCTAACATCTGTGACACTCTTGCTCTATTTTTTTTTTTTCTCGTATGTGGGACACTGCCACAGCATGGCTTGATGAGCAGTGTGTAGGTCTGCGCCCAGGATCCGAACCTATGAACCCTGGGCTGCTGAACTGAAGTTTGCGAACTCAACAACTATGCCACCAGGCTGGCCCTGTGTATTCTTCTTTATACTACTGATAATTAGATTCATTCCCCAACTATAAAGGACTTTAGAGAGAATGAGGCTCCTCTCATTGGCACTTAGGAGATAGTAGTGATGGTGGGTTGGTGGATGATTTAGTATTACTTTTTTGTTTAGATTATCACTGTCCAATATAGTTAGCTGCAGTGATGGAAATTTTCTGTAATCTTTGCCATCCAATACAGAAATTAAAGTCTTCCAATCAATATAGAATTATTATTTGAACTATGATTTCTCCCTCTTCTTTGTTGAAAGAGACTACATCATCAGTGGTCTGGGTCGCCACGATAATTGAGAAAAGAGCAAAGATGAAGGTACCACAGGCTTATGATGCTGTACTTATCTTTGAATTTGTAGATTTCTCTTCTTCCCCATCTACAAATGGAATGTTCACCCTAACCACCAATGGGGACCTGCCCCGATCAATATTCATCCCCAATGGAATGCCAAACACTGTTGTGCCATGTGGAACTGAGAAGAACTTCACAAATGGAATGGTGAATGGTCATATGCCGTCTCTTCCTGACAATCCTTTTACAGGCTACATTATTGCAGTCCACCGAAAAATGGTTAGTTTAACGTTAGGCAAGTTACTGCTGGTCTTGCCAGTGTCGTTTGTGAAACAGTCATTTTCAGTCTTTGTGTTATCTTCATTGCATGCACTTTCAGTGTGTTGCGTATGTTATTGTACATGATCAGAGCCAGGATTTAGTCTATACATGATGGCCTATATGAAATGACATTCCTCATTCATATAATCAAGAAGCAGCAGGACAGCTGGTGCATCTGAATGCTACTTTCTTTGAAAAGTTTGTATCTCCTATATGTTCCTGTAAGCATGTGCATCTTCTTCTCTGCCCTATTAAGTGTGGATGCCTCTGGAGAAGGTTTTGTTTGTTCATTGAGCAGGGGGGTGGGGGGAGGACAAGAATATTCTTTAGCAAGACAAGTTGTGCGTAATCCTCTTTTGGTAGACTAATATATGGCTATTTCATTAAAGGCTGACTCTGATTAAAAAACAAAGATTTGAAAACTGATCACTGGACAATTGTTAAAGAGGTAGTCATTGTATATGGTGGCAACTTGGTGGAGTAGAAAGAGCAGTGGACTAGGAGCTGAGTGACTTAGGTTTAGTTCTAATTCTGCCACTAGAAAGCTGATTGAGCTCTTTGGGCCTCAGTTTCCTACTTTTAAAATGGAGAATAGGACTGCTATATAATTTCTAAAATCCATTAGTTACCTTTACTTCTGTTCAAAAATTCCCTCAAATCAGGGAAATGCTAATTAAAACCACAGTATGATACCACTGCACAGCCACCAGAATAGGTAAAATTAAACAAATTGATAGTGTCAGTAAGGATAACGGAGTACCAGGAATTCTCATACCCTGCCGATGAGTGTAAATTAACACAGCTACTTTGGAAAACAGTTTTCTAGTTAAAGATAAGAAGTTCTGCTCCTAAGTATCCACGCAACAGATACATGTGCCAGGCTATATGTGTAAGAGGATTCATAGCAGCATTATCTGTAATAGCCCAAAGCCAAAAACGCAAAATGAAAACATTAGATCCCCATTGTAGTAGAAAGGATAAGAAAGTTGAGATATGGTCATACAATAGAATATTATACAGTAATGAAAATGAATGGGTTTATAGTTGTAACCAACATAACTGAATCTCATAAACATAATGTGGGAAAGAAGCCAGACAGAAAAGAAATACAAATTATATCATTCTGTTTATAAATAAAAGCTTTAGGGGCCAGCCCCGTGGCTGAGTGGTTAAGTTCATGTGCTCTGCCTCAGCAGCCCAGAGTTTGTTGGTTCAGATCCTGGGCATGGACCTACACACCGCTCATCAAGCCATGCTGTGGCAGCATCTCACGTAGAAGAACTAGAATGACCTACAACTAGGATATACAACTATGCACTGGGGCTTTGGGGAGAAAAAAAAAGAGCAAGATTGGCAATAGATGTTAGCTCAGGGCCAATCTTCCTCACCAAAAGGCATACTTGAAAAAAAAACTTTAAAAACATGAAAGATGAAATTTACTGTATATGCATACGGTATAAATCTATAAAGAAAAGCAAGAAAATGGTTACCATAAAATTCAGAATAATTGTTACCTTTAGGAGGAAGGAAGAATCTGTGATTGGGAGGAAGCAAGAGGGAGGCTTTTGGAGTGCTGTCTGTATTCTGTTTCTTGACCTGACTGGTGATTACACAGCTATTTGCTTTGTAATAATTCTTTGAAGTGCACTTTTTCCCCCTTTGAATTAGTAACTCTTTACTTAAAGAAAGTTTCTGACCATGTGGATGATGTTCTGTTGACCATGTTCTGGACAGGGTTGTTTGAGGGGACAGCCTAGAGAATTAAGGGATATATTTGTGACGTGGAATTGTCTTTAAGCACAGCTCCAACGGGTCCCATCAGCTAAAATAATGGAGTGATTCATGCATTTCCCCTTATCTTTCTTTTACCAAGCATTATCAGATCATATATTAAGAATTCCAGTGCACTTTTTAAATCTTTCTTTGGAAACTGCTCTCTTCAGTTATTTATATGTTATATAAAGTGCTTGGTAAGTGCTAAAGCGTATGTACAGATTTTTCTAGTTATTGGACCATAAAGCCATATTGTCAGCTCTAAATTTTCACCTTTTAACCATTCCCCTATTTCCAGTTTCCCTCATGATCTAGCCAGCTGCTTTGGGGAATGCCTCAAATTGATTTTATCATCTCTCTCTCTGAAGTTAGCTCCCTTTTCACGTTATTTTCGTGAAAGGGAACACCAATCTTTCCATGCTAAAGGCTAAACGGTTGGAATGTTCTTAGATTTTTTTTCTTTTCTTCTGAAACCCTATATTCAATATATCACTATGCCTTCAATTTCTTCTTTCAAAATACTATTTGAATTTACCATTTTGTTTGCATATTTATTGCTACCTTCTTCTTTCAAACCCTTTTGATCTCATGGTTGAACTACTTTAAAAGCGGTTTATTTTTCTTCTACTCCCTTCTACAGGGTAGAAAAAGAAGAGCAATAAGGCAAGGCAGCATAGGCAAGGATATTCAGAGAATGAAGGGAGAAATAGAAAAACAGTGTACTGACACAACTAAGGACACATCTATTTAAAAAAAAAAAAAGAAGAAGAAGAAGAAAGAAAGAAAGAAGTAGTTACACGGACCAGAGAAGTTGAAAAGACTGAAAACTGAAAAGTTTGGCAGTGTAACCAAGGAAAGAAATAGCGCAAGAATTTAGCATAAGTAGGTCAAGTTTTTTCAGGTGAGAGAGAAAGTTGTTAGGAGAGGACAAAAGGAAAATTCCTGCTGCAGTAAACTGGGAGCATTTTACTATGAGGAACCAATCAGATATGGGCTCTAGGGCACTGGGAGAAGTTACCTTCAAGAGGATGAAAATTGTGTAGGTTTAGAAAAGATACACTGAGAAGACTAGAGGAAAGAGATCATTGCTTAAATGATCTCATCTGCTGAGAGTTCAAGTAGAAGAAAAGTAGAAGTTTAAGGAGCGGGAAAGAAATCTAAGTTGTTAGATTTTAAAAAAATAGTTATTCTGAACTCTGTCCACATGTCTGGGGTCTTGTAATAATACCGACACATGAAACGGGGTCTAAAATTCATGTATTTAGCGAAGCTGAAATTAACAATGGCAAAATAAAATGCTTGAGGATCTAAAATAAAAGAGTCTTTTTCACTTAGAAACTAGCTAACTTTTAGTGAGTTTATAGTTGTTGACTTAGCTTCTCTACTACATAAAGACCAAACAAAGAATTAAATGTCCAAGCGCTCAACAGCTTTTTTGAGTAATCCTGAACTCTCACCAACCTTTATATTAATCTAAACTTTTGTTTTATTAAGAAACCATTTCCAAGCTAATTCTGTGCAGTATGTCTTGTATTAAGGAATATCATAAAAATCTTCTTAACATACTCAAAGCAAATATTTTTAAACTTCACCTTTTATTCTATCTATCATGTATTTTAAAAATTTTAAAAACTAAAGTCACTCACTTTCTTTTAGGAAGATTGATAAGTTGTTAGAAAATTAAATGACTGGATTTCGCAAGTCTCCGAACGTTTGGAAATTGCTGCTCTAACAATAGCTATCAACAACTTATTCTTAGAGAATTGCATTTTGAGGGACTTTTGGTTTACTGGCATACTTTCTAGAAAAGGGGTTTTAATTGCTTAAAAGCCTTGAACTGTGAAACTATCACTAGTTTTTACATATGATTCAGTGTGTGTGAGAAATGTTTATAAGAAAAAACTAATTTGAAAACATTAAATGCTGAAAATCCAAGTTTGACAGATAGACAGCAACTCTGAAATTGGCAGTTACCTCAGCCTTTCAGTGACTTCACTTTCAATAGCCATTTCTCTTCATATTAATAAAGATGGTTCTTTAAATAAAGAGAAGAGTGGTAGTGACTAATTTGAAAATAGTAGATGCCTCTTATTGGCAGTTGTAGAAGAACAAAAGAGAAGAATCAGAGGCCTGTCTTCTCAGCTTTCTCTTCTCTTTGTACATACAGATGAGGACAGAACTGTATTTCCTGTCATCTCAGAAGAATCGCCCCAGCCTCTTTGGAATGCCACTGATTGTTCCATGTACCGTGCATACCCGGAAGAAAGACCTATATGATGCGGTTTGGATTCAAGTATCTCGATTAGCCAGCCCACTTCCACCTCAGGAAGCTAGTAACCATGCTCAGGATTGGTGAGTTTAGGGGATTAGCCTAGACCTGTGGTTTCCAAACTCTAGAAGAAGAAGAATTTGTATGAATTCTGTGTGATTTATAAGACCCATTCCATGTCAGCTTAATCACTCTTTGAAGAACTATCCAGAGAACATTCAACCATTTGGTTTAATCTTTTGAGTAGGAGAGACTATAACTTCTTTTCATCACCTAGAAGCTCTAGTGTCTAATAGTCCTTTCATTCTCTAATCTCTTGCCTAAATCCTTACTGCTAATGCTTTAAATGCTTCAGGTAATATCCTTGACCTCTGTTATTACAAAAATAGAGGGTATGAATTCATCAGGAAGTTTGTGTCATCTCTGAAATTCAGAATGGGAGCATTAGTGTGCATATCTATACATGAACTCTGAGAAAAGTCTCATACCATAACTAATGATTCAGTTGGATTGTTTCCATACCATGTCATTTTTAACAAAATAGGATAATTTCGTAAATCCAGGTAAAGAAAATAAACATCTTCTGTTTTCTTTCCATTCCTCCTATCACTGATATATTGGATTAGTAAATGTATTTCTCACAGTTGTTAGGATTTTGCACTTCATTTATATTTCAGTTGAACTGCAGAACATTTTCTTGCTATCATGGTGCAAGTAAGAGTTCTGTTTCTGTGTTAACTGAGTAAAGAAGTTCTCTTTGCTGATAGGTTATTTGTTATGGTATGGAGTCTTTTGATGATTAGGATAAGGCTTAAGGTAAATCTTAAAGGAAAACTGTAAATAATAGATAAACAATTTAATTGATGAATGTTGTATTTAGTAAAAATGACTGTAGGGCAAGATTAAAAATTGAATTAAAAGTGCTTCTAGATGAGGGCTTGCTAATGAACTGGATATTGAGTATGAGGGAAAGAGGAGCCCAAGCTAGGTTTTCAGCCTGAGCAGTTATTTATGAATGGTTTATGGTTATGAAACCATATAAATGGTTTCCTCATTCCATTTAATGACGTGAGGAAGACAGGAGAAGGAGCAGGTTTTGACCAGAAGCAACAGGAATCAAGTTAAATTGAAGATGTGTGTTATATTTTCAAATGGGAAATGGATTTAAGTGTCTTTGTTGGAGATATAAATGTCATCAACAAATAGTATTTAAAGTCCTGAGACCAGATGATATCATTTAGAGAGTAAAAGTTAGAGAAGTTGCCCAAGATCTCATTCCTGATGCATTTCAACATTTAGAGATTGAAAAGAGGAGAAAGAGGCAAGAAAGGAGATTGAGAAGGAGCAGCCAGTGATATAAGAAGAAAAGCAGGAGTGAGTAGTGTCCCAGAAGTTAACTGAAGGAAGTGTTTGAAAGAAGATTGATCAGTTTCAAATGCTGCAGAGAGAGTGAGTGAGAAGAGCACTGGGGGGCCAGCCCTGTGGCCAAGAGGTTAAGTTCGCGTGCTCTGCTTCAGCAGCCCAGGGTTTCACCGGTTCGAATCCTGGGCGCCGACCTAGCACCACTCATCAGGCCGTGCTGAGGCAGTGTCCCTCGTGCCACAACTAGAAGGACCCACAACTAAAGTATATACAACCATGTACTAGGGGCTTTGGGGAGAAGAAGGAAAAATAAAATCTTTAAAAAAAAAAAAAAAGGACTGGGAATTAGCTGCTGGATTTGATAAAAATAGCAGTCCTTGGTGACCTTTGCAAAAGCTGTTTTAGTGGAGTGGTGTAGATGAGGGCATAGAGGTTGGAGTAAGTTAAAGAGATAATGGTCCTACAGACATTAAAAAGATAAGAGCTTATCTTCTACAGATAACACACTGAAATATTTATGGATGAAAATGGTAAAATGCCTCTGATTTCCTTCAGAAGACTCTAGTGAGTCACAATAGCTAAGAGGTAGAAACAACTTAAACGTCCAGATGAATGGATAAACAAAATGTGGTATATACATACAATGTAGTATTATTTAGCCATATAAAGGAATGAAGTTCTGATATATACTACAACGTAGATGAACCTTGAAAACCTTAGGCTAAGTGAAATAAACCAGATTCAAAAGAAGAATGATTCCACTTTTATGAGGTATCTCAAAAAGGCAAATTCACAGGCAGAAAATAGTTTAGAGGTTACCAGGGTCTGGGGGTAGGGGAGAGAGGGAGTTATTATTGCTTAATGGATACAGAATCTCTGTTTCGGAAGCTGAAAAAGTTCTGGAGATGGACAGTGGTGATGGTTGTACAACATTGTGAATGTACTTAATGCCACTGAATCGTACACTTAAATATGGTTAAATGATAAATTTTATATATATTTTACCAGAATTTAAAAAAACAGAGTCACAGAATCTAGTGGGGCTAGATAAGGGTATAGTTGAAATAAGAGTTGATGATTATTGCAGTTGGGTGATGGAATACATGAGGATTCATTGTACAGTTCTCTACTTTTGTGGATGTTTATGTCAATAAATTTGAAAATTTAGATTAAATGGACAAATTCCTGCAACTGAGGATCTCTACGAAAGGTGATTATCTTGAGGGACAGTGGATGAGGAGGAAAGTTAGGCTTTGAGGGCAGTGATTAGGGGTTTCTCTTGGGTCAAAAGAGTAGTGATACTTGAATAAGTGATTCAAAAAGTCAGGAGATCGTTGTTGCAAACTAAGATATTTGGAACTGAGATTTTTGGAGATAGTAAAGTCTTTATTATTGTTTTCATTACATTCAGCAGCCGTGTAATAGCCACTACCAATTGACAAGGTCTAGAATATAACCATTGGAGTGAGAAGATCATATAGGATGGAGAAAATTATTGTTGGAAGAGAGAAGGCCTAGATGTTGCTGGCTAAGTTACATTGATATTGAAATCACCAAGAGTAATAACAGGAGAAATAACAGAGAGAAAGACAGTGAACTGAGTGCTAAAATCTTTGGTGACTAAAGAAGAGATGTGCCTACCAAAGAGGAATAGCAGGTGGTATAATTCAATAGCACATAGTACAAAGAAACCAGAATTTTTTAGAAGGGTAAAGAAGGAGAAATCATCTAGAAGGGGCAAAGAAGAGTGAGGAGGAGACCCATATCACCTGCAGGTTCTGGGATATATGAGAAAAGACAGCAGTTAATAGGCTGTAGAGGAAGCAGAGTCCTCAGGAAAGCCAGGCTTCAGTTAGAGCAAAACAGTAAAGAAAGTGTTCAGACGAGAGAGGCTGCACAGTTCCCTGCCAGAGTGCTGCCTGGTCATTTTGCCCTTTTATCTTTCTTTTGATTCCCCATTTACTCTTGACCTGATTTGGACATAATAGTGGACAGCATGGGATATCAATAATCATTCACTCAACGAGTCATACAGAAAGATGGGAACTCCTGTGACAGACATGGTACAATACTCACTTTTGCCCTTATTATGGTTTCATTACCTTCAAAAGCCATGTAATAGCCACTACCAATTGCCAAATGAGCCATAAAGTGTACTGCTCTTACATTATATTCCTTGCAAGGGTGCAAGGATGAATAAATTTTTTTTTAAGTTGGAAAGCTCTCAAGGCTATCTTGCAGTCAAAAGGCGTTACTCTAAAAATGTTATATAGCTTATAGCATTGAGTAGTTACAGCAGGGGAAAGGGCTTACCTAGCAGGTGCCACATCAGGGATTCTGATTAAAGGGAACTTCTAAATATACATTTAGTCAGCTACTCCAAAAACCATTATGACTTTTCAGCCTTCTGTACTGTGTCAATGTTCTTGCCATGGAAAGGTCTAATTTTTATTTTAGTTTAAAGTGAATTAAGCCTTCTGATAGAATTAAGGCTGAAGGATAATTGGTGTTTGATCTCATGATTAGCTTATCTTATAAAATTTGCGTGGACCACATGGTCTGTCTTAGAGACATCTGGCAGTCTAGTATGTCTGCCCTTCTGTAAGCAGGGATACAGCATGGATGCTGAGTGTGATTGGTACAGGGCTGCAGCTAATGGGTTAGGATAAGCAGCAATGAGCTGTCAACGTGAGCATAATGCTATGACAGATGTCCCTTTCTAGGGTAACTTGAAGAGAAGATGAAAAGGAGTTGAGATCTCAAATCAGAAATGTTTCTTATACTCTTTGGTTTATGTTCTGTTTCAGTGATGACAGTATGGGCTATCAATATCCATTCACTCTACGAGTTGTGCAGAAAGATGGGAACTCCTGTGCTTGGTGCCCATGGTATAGGTAAAGTGACCTTCCGCAAAAGAAACATTTTAGTAGAATTGCAGCTTCAGATGTTATACCTTTTTCATAAGGTTTCCAGTTTTTAGAAATAATAGTAAATAATGAAAAGCTTGAAATAAACTTAGAAATTGTTCATTTATCTCTTCCTTGGTGAGATCCATAACTAAATTTTGCTCTTGAGACTTAACTGGTTTTATGAACTCTGTGGTCCTCATCAAATTCATAGTTTATGATCAACATTTATTATTCTATTGGTAGTGAGGAAAGTACCAATTCCAGACCTAGTTCTGCTCCTTAAATATAAATCAGTTTAGCAATTCTGAGCCCAGTAGAACATAGTCTACTTACCATACTTTTCCAGAAATCTGTTTTTGGTTTTTATAAAGAGTTATGGAGATTGATTGGTCAGTACTGTTCCAGCTTGGAAAATGCCTGAGTGCTGAAGTCAGCCTTCAGAGAACTGTAATAAACTTATCTAACTGAGTTTAAAGTAGAGTTGGAACCATGACTTTGTCATGCTTCCCCCCCGAAAAAATTTTTATATACAGTTATTTAATGTGTCATTTTATAAACAAGGAAGTAGGTGTTGTTATACCAGATAAATTGTCCTACCTCAGAGCATTAAATAACTGGATTTAGATTTCTTTAGAAGTGTATTTTCTCAGATATCCAATTCCAATATTATTTATTTGCTATAAAGTTCACATATTGATGTGGATTAACAAATGATTATCAAGTGCTTTGAAGAATCAAAACTTGAGAAGTGATAAGCACGATGCCCTGAAATACTAATAATTATTATTATCTGTTCATGCATTTAGCAGTCTAAAGTTAGAAGCCCATGACAAATTGTGAACCCCAAGAAAGAAAGTCGCCAAGAAGAAAGGGAGAATATTTCAGATAAAGAAAATTTGGATACCTTCATAATTATTTCTTCCTCAGTAGATCTTTTTCCCCCCTTTAGATTTTGCAGAGGGTGTAAAATTGATTGTGGAGAAGACAGAGCTTTCATTGGAAATGCCTATATTGCTGTGGATTGGGACCCCACAGCCCTTCACCTCCGCTATCAAACATCACAGGAAAGGGTAAGTATTTAGGGCCACCATAAGATGATGCCTTTTATATATAAAGTTTTTCCCAGTTTAATTATATCATGCCATTTAGGTTTGAGACAATTTTTTTCTTTTCTTTTCTTTTTCTTTTTCTTTTTCTTTTTTTTTTTTTTGAGGAAGATTAGCCCTCAGCTAACATCTGCTGCCAGTCCTCCTCTTTTTGCTGAGGAAGACTGGCCCTGAGCTAACATCTGTGCCCATCTTCCTCTACTTTCTATGTGGGACGCCTACCACAGCATGGCTTGCCAAGCAGTGCCATGTCCACACCCGGGATCCCAACCAGTGAATCCCAGGCTGCCAAAGCAGAACGTGTACACTTAACCGCTGCGCTACCAGGCCGACCCTGTGTTTGAGACAATTTAAATAGAACCAGACAAACATTCATTGGCATTCTCTATGGCACTTAATATAGTGACATGATTACGTGAATGTGAGTTTACCCAGTATTAGAGTTAACTGTATTGGGGCATTAAATTTCAAAAATACTAATAATAAGTAAATCTTGTAACAAAACTCTGTGTGTAATTAAGAAATATATTCTCTGGCCATGACATACCAAGCAGTACATATCTCTCTGTCTGCTTATTAATTATTACTGAAGCTGCAACATTTGATAACCACAGTTACTTAGCTCAGATGCATCCCAGAGCTATAGCTGCTGGCTTTAATGGGCATAGTGATCAGAAAAATTAGAGAAAGGATTGAATGTTTTGAGACTGGGCACCTAAGAGTGCATCTCAGTGACTGTTCTTCACCCTTAGCATTTCTCTACTGCCACTCTCTGGCCAGAGCAATTTTGAAATTTTGAAAACTTTACTTCAAAAAGAATATGAACTCCATACCTAAAAATTTTTGCTAAATATTGTTTGAAGGGTAGATTGATTAGACAGCTGGTCGGTAGAGATAGGAAGAATCTGATGGAGAGGCAAAAGCAACAGAATCAAAAGAGGTTTTTTAGTCACATGAAAAATTGTAGTGGCTCTTGTGTTTATATGGCTGTCGATGGAAATTTCCTTCACTATTCCTCCAAGTATACCCTTTAAATAAGTTAGTAATGAACATTGACTTTTCTGTCTTTTTGTGCTATTGAGGAGTGAGTAGGGAAACTACCACTTCCAGACCTAGTTCCTTATTTGGATCCCTAGATATGCCCCCACACAGTCTGAGGCTCCTGGCAGCTCTCACTGGCCAAGGATGAGTGTAATTTGTGGATACTGGCCAAATGAAAGATTATTGGGCTAAAGGAAGCTGAAGAGAAGTTGATGTTCTATCATATCATGCTCACTTAGCAAGGTAATTCAGTAACCTCAGCCATGCTTTGTTTGAGGAGGGAACATTTTAGCTATTGATAAAAAGATTCCTAAATCTTTGTTAGCACAAGATCTGACAAGACATTATTGTGATAAGACACTCCTGTCAAAAGTGAGAAATTATTTGGCTCTCTAAATCTCTTTCCCTTTTTAACAAACCCAGTGTGCAATCTGAAAAGCTCTGGAGGACATCCTGCTTCTAGGAAGAAAAGTCTACGTGACCTGTTAAATCTCATCCCATTTCCACTTTTAGAGATGCTCTTAGGGCACTATGGAAACCAAGTTGTTATTGAGATATCCTGCCTTGCTGGGGAGTGGGGCCACATGACTTAATTTCTTCCTACATGTGGTTTTTGCATGTGCTTAGAGAATCCCGTAAACAAAAGGAGATACCTTGGTTCAAAATTGAGATTATTGCCCACGTTTTATGTTTTTTATTCCAGTGATTTTCCCTTCTAGGAATTGATCCTAGGGAAATAATCTATAATTTGCTGACAAATCTTCATCATGGCATTTTTTAGAATAGTAAACAATTAGAAACAACTTATATTTGTCCCACCTTAGAGGAATGGTTAACTAAAACGTGATACATTAATTGAGTAAAATATTATGCAGTCATTGAAAATGACGGTTACAAGGAGTTTTTATGATGTATATGAGAAGATACTTGTGATATCAGGTTGTTTTTTTAATTTTTTATTATTTTTTTATTTTAATTTTTTTTTTTTTTTGAGGAAGGTTAGCCTGAGCTCACTACTGCTGATCTTCCTCTTTTTGCTGAGGAAGACTGGCCCTGAGCTAACATCTGTGCCCATCTTCCTCTACTTTATACGTGGGACGTCTACCACAGCATGGCTTTTGCCAAGCAGTGCCATGTCCCCACCCGGGATCCGAACCTGTGTACCCCGGGCCACCAAGAAGCAGAACATGCGAACTTAACCGCTGTGCCACCAGGCCGGCCCCAGGTTGTTTTTTTAAAAAGCAAAATATAAAATTTTATGTCCTGAAAAATCTCTTCAATATAAAAAAATACTATTTAGGAAAAGGACAGAAGAAAATCTGCTCATGTTTTGACAGTGTTTGCCTTTGTATTAAGAATATAAAAGGATCCCTGCCTTTATACATTTTTCTCTGCTTTCCAAAATTTCTACATGAATATTTTATTTGGTGAGCAGAAAAAAAATAGGCAATTATTTTTATTCTTTTTATTTTTCCTGTTTGGACCTCATATTCCTCAATAGAAAATTAAACTAGATAACTTCTTAGATCTCCCTCTTTTTCTAATACTCTTATAATGTGTGAAAGCTATTACTTCATTCCTTATGTTTTGTTTTAAGGATGAGCTTTCAAGCATCTTAGAAAAAAAGGAAGAGGATGCCAATAAGTAATTGAGACTATTAATAGTAGAGGATCTGGGAATGGATCCCAAGAGGTAAAGGGAATCTTTGTCATTTAGGGAAATTTTGTTGATATATAAAAATTATTGTCAGTCCACAAATATTTTTTTTATCAGTCTTCCCTCCTCCCAGTTTCCCTCTAACTCTATAGCCTGTATGTTCCATAGAAAATATAGTCAATAAAAAGCAACATTCTTTACTAGCTTACTGTAATTTGTGGTTGGCCATAAAGTATCTTTGGGAAACATAATAAAGATAATGTTTAACTGACTGTGAGAAAGAAGACATTACTGTATTTGTACACCTCCTTTTCTACTCTGATTCCAACAACCATAATACAGTATGTTTCTTTTTGAAGCATGTCAGTTTTTCCCTTGGATAACCAGCTCTAAGGATGATAAGAGTATCAGCAAAGTAGTCAGTGACCCAAGGTCAAGCCAGGTTTCGCTTTCTGAAAAGAAGAGTTTTCCTCTAAGTTCCCTATTTTAAATGAGTTCTTTAGAAATGGATGATGATGCAATGTTAAAACCCTGAATTTTGGGGCCAGCCCCATGGCAGAGTTGTTAAGTTCATGTGCTGCGCTTCAGCGGCCCAGGGTTTGGATCCTGGGCGCGGACGTGGCACCATTCGTCAGGCCATTTTGAGGCGGCGTCCCACATAGCACAACCAGGGACACTCACAACTAGAATATACAACTGTGTACTGGGGGGCTTTGGGGAGAAGAAAAATAACTAAAATAAAACCCTGAATTTCATGATCAACTTCATCCTTGGCAATTTATGGAAGCATTTGATAGCATGTGACTCAGCCATCCTCTCATGTAGGGAAAAAGTCGTACCTGAAAACCTATTCTAAACTGAATGTCCTGAGCTGTGCCCATTTGTAATCTAGGCAGCCCAGTGTTCCCATCATGATTTCAGGAAATTGCCTCAATCAAAGAGAACCAATTCACCTCTGGAAGGGAGGAGTAATAAGTCAGGTGATGGACATGTGTGTGACCTTTGCCAGAAAGAGAGGAATTTATTGTTGGACTTGCAGTCCAGGCTCCACCTTGGAATGAAAAGATCCCTATGTGAAGCCTCATGGTAGCATTCATAGTCCTGATACTATGCCTCAACCACCATGATTCTTGATTGATTATTAAGTGACAGCCAAGAATTGGAGAGGGAAAAATTCTTCCTGTTCTGTTGCCTTCTAGGTCTCTGCTTCTCTCCCTCCTCCTGATCCTACACAACCTCCAACACGCATCCTTACACAACTACTCCCCTTTCCTCTCTCTCCTTTCCTATACTTACCACTTTCTTGCTCCAAAGCCTAGCATGCTGGTTAACAGGACCACAGAGGTTTGGGCAGGTAGTGGAGACCTTCTCAACAAAATCACACTCTTTTGAGCCTGCTGTTTCTTTTATTTCCATCTCACATAAAAGGGCCCCACGAGGGGCCGGCCCGGTGGCATATCAGTTAAGTTTGCACATTCTGATTCGGTGGCCCAGGGTTTCCTGGTTCAGTTCCCGGGTGCGGACATGGCACTGCTTGGCAAGCCATGTGTGGTAGGCATCCCACATAGAAAGTAGAAGAAGATGGACACGGACGTTAGCTCAGGGCCAGTCTTCCTCAGCAAAAAGAGGAGGATTGGCAGCAGATGTTAGCTCAGGGCTAATCTTCCTCCCCAAAAAAAGGGCCCAATGAGGCAAGAGGCAGTGATACACATGAGATTCTGATAGTTCTGTGTTACATGATATCAATATGCAAATGAGGTGTGCCCTGTGGGATTTAACACTGGTATGTTGTCTTCTCATGGTGAACTTTTCTATCTCCTGTCTTACTTAATCCAGGTCTGGTATCTGTTCCGTGATATTATTTCTCCTAGTCTCTATAAAGCTTGCAGCATACTAATAACATTCTGTCTTTCTGGTTAAAAAATAAATGGCCTAATATCAATACCCCTGGCTTGAGGGCCAGCTCATCATATGTAAGCTGTTTTAGGATTTCAAAATTATAAAATAAGCAGTTCCTTGTTTGTTTTTGTTTTTGCCACTTTGAAGCATTCAGAAATCTTTCAAGAAAAGCTGTGGTCATGTAAATAGAAATTTGATCCAGGATGCTATTGATGTGATATTTGTGACTAAACGTACAGATGCTGTATTTGCTCAGACTCTAATTTGGGTTGTATTTTCTTTTTCTTTATGTAGAATAAAAATGAGGGTGAGTCACCTAGAGGATGATGCATAGCCAAGTGACCATTTTAAACTCCCTCTCTCTCTCACTTCCACTCCTTCCCCCATGCCTCCTGTTCTCTCCACCTGCAGGTTGTAGATGAGCACGAGAGTGTGGAACAGAGTCGGCGAGCACAAGCTGAGCCCATCAACCTGGACAGCTGTCTCCGTGCTTTCACCAGTGAGGAGGAGCTAGGGGAAAATGAAATGTACTACTGCTCCAAGTGTAAGACCCACTGCTTGGCAACCAAGAAGCTGGATCTCTGGAGGCTTCCCCCGGTCCTGGTAGGTTACAGCCCTGCCTCTGAGAAAGCAAGAGTCTATCATAAAGGAAAGAAGCCATGAACAAATAGGAGTTTTTGTTTTTTGTGAGAATAAGACCCACTGTGCAACAGTGTTTGAAACACTTTGCTGTGCAAGGTTTTTATGTTGCACACAGAGGTTAATTGTTCTACAGATATTTGCTACTTCCTGCTCCTGAAGAGCATACAGCCTAGGAGAGAGAAGTCATATAGACCAATTACTGCAATTTGTAACAATATGTCAGAAGTGCCACAAGTGGTACAGTCCGGTGAATTTGAACCTCAGAAGAGGGTGCAGATACTGCTGGCTGTAGGGAGAGAGGAAGCTTTAGGTTCACGCTTAGTGGACTGTAGAAGAGCAGCTAAGCCTGGAACCTCCAGTCCCACTCTGCTTGGTCACATGGTCGCAGCACACTGCTGAGTCAAGTTTGTGTACACAAGTGCAGTGGGGCTCATGTGTTCTTTTAGATCTGCTTTACCTCTGCCTTCTCTTCATGGATTAGGAGACTCTCCTGTTGCTTGTCAGGAGAGTTTGAAGTGACAAATCTTCCTATTCATTTAAGAAAGCTTTTTCGGGGGGCAGCCCCGTGGCTGAGTGGTTAAGTTCACGCACTCCGCTTCCGCAGCCCCAGGGTTTTGCCAGTTCAGATCCTGGGCACAGACATGGCACCGCTCATCAGGCCATGCTGAGGTGGCATCCCACATGCCACAACTAGAAGGACCCACAACTAAAAATACACAACTATGTACCGGGGGGCTTTGTGGAGAAAAAGCAAAAAAAAATAATATTAAAATCTTTTAAAAAAAGAAAGCTTTTTCCTTAAGGGTGGAAGTATCATATCAAATGTAACTATAAGCCACTGGTATATTTTAACCAGGCCGTGTATGTATTTTTGTATTCATGTCTTCTTCCTACTACTCTGTAAGACTGTGAATGTAGATTTTTCTTTCGTTAGACTAAAACAACTTCCCAGGGAAGAAGGCACAAGAAATTAATAACATTGACTAGCTAACTCGAGGGATGGGAACTGAGGGAAGGGAAGAAGAGGGCAGGGGCAGGTAGGTGGGAAGGGGTAAAGTTCTTTTTTAATTGAGGTATAATTACTGTGGAATTAAATGCCTAGATTTTGAATGTCTAATTTGATGAGTTTCAACAATTATATAAATACTCATATAACCATCACATAAAACATGTCATGGAGTAAAGACATTTATAAAAGCTATGTTTCTGAGGTCTTTAAAGAATAATAAAGAATAAATATTGTGTTGAGAGCTTGATGGGTTTTTATTAGATCCATACACCAGCATGCCCCTTAGAAAGGGATTCTCTTTATATAGACAGCGAATCGTTAAGCATTTAGGGTAGAGGTAGCAACCGAAGATCTGTGCCTGCCCTAAAAAGCATAATAACACTGTACAATACTAGAGGAATTCATTGCTCTTAAAAAGGAAAAGAGAAGCCAAAAAAGAGAAGGGAGATTCTTATGCTCTTCAGGACAGTGAAATTCCCTGATAGCAGTCAAAAGAGATGGTAAGAAAGGAGAGACCTCCTATTGGAGGTTAGGTAAGTGTCCTCTATAAAAAACTCTTCCATTTTTCTTCAGAGTATTCAGTGTAGTCTCCTATCCTTATGAGTGTGTTTGTGAATGGATTTTCTATGATATTGGAAATAGGTAGAGGTCAGTGTAGGTCATGAACCCAGAAAACAGGATGTGGAAATATAGGCTCGTAGGATGTTGAAGAAATTTGGAAGAGAGTTTCGGATACACACAGGCTATGAAATTAAGGAGATTACCATGTTAGCTACATATATAAAGGGCAGTAGCCCCACTGATAACTGTGTTACGTGGTAAAATATATTCTTTTTGGAAAAAAATGTTCTGTTATATATTCTTGAACATTCACATGTATTAGACTTGGATCTTTTTACTGTAAATTTTGTACCTTCAGAACCCTTTACTGCATTTTCTACCTTTTCTTCTCCAGATTATTCACCTTAAACGATTTCAATTTGTAAATGGTCGATGGATAAAATCACAGAAAATTGTTAAATTTCCTCGTGAAAGTTTTGACCCTAGTGCTTTTTTGGTACCAAGAGACCCGGCTCTCTGCCAGCGTAAACCACTCACACCCCAGGGGGACGACCTTTCTGAGCCCAAGGTTCCGGCAGGAGAGGTGAAGAAAGTGGATGCCCAGAACTCAGCTGGGGAAGAGGATGTGCTCATGAGCAAGAGCCCGTCCTCACTTAGTGCAAACATCATCAGTAGCCCGAAAGGTGAGGAGGCCTGGGGAACCTCATGGAGCCCAGACGTCACTCTGCGTGGGGCTTTACTGGGACCCCTGTAGGCTGTATATTTCCCTCTGTCTTCCACTCTGGAGCAACAGCTTGGTGAGGTGGAAGGAACCTATCTGGAATCAGACCTATCTAGATTAGAGCTACATGACTTAACAAGAAATACACCCTCCCTAGATCTATTTTCTCATTTGTAAAATGGAGATAATACCAGGCTCACAGAGTGTGAGGATTTGATACATCAGGAGTGAAGCACTTTGCATAATGCCTCACATAAACTGAACATGAATGCAAGTTGTCATCCTTCTTCCCTTACAGCAGAGGTTTTCAAAGTATGGTCTGGGAAGCCCTAGAGGGTCCCTGAGACCTTTTGAGAGGGCTTGGAGGATTAGAACTATTTTCATAAAAATACTCAGACAGCATTTGCCTTTTCACTCGCATTCTCTCACAAGTGTGCAATGGAGGCAGAGCCAGCATGACACATGATGATATTGTCAGTGAAATAATGCTTGCATATTGTATTTTTTAAATTCCTCAGTTTTAATTTCTAACGTGATAAAAACTAAGAGATATAACCCACACAAACAAAAGTTCTAGATGTCCTCAGCAATTTTTAAGAGTATATAAGAAGGTAGGGAGGCTATGACCAAAAAGTTTTAAGACCCACTACGTTATAGGAGTTGTGAGACGTAGAGATAATAGAGAGTTCCCAGTACCATGCCTAGCAATGGTAACTGCTTAATAATCGATAATCTTATTGTTTTAATATAATTTTACAGAGGAAAATATGTATTTGTAAAACTCCTTAGTCTAATAACATTGTTTTAAAGTGGATCTGACCAAAATCACCTTTCTGCTATTTTCTAATGGTACTTTACAATTTCAGGACATTGCTGCCTTTAGAGGCTTGGCATTGACTGAGGAAGACAAGAATGTAACTTACTGGCTTCATAATAGGAACTGAAGAGTAGCTAGTTAGGATGCCCATCTTTACCTTTTTGTGTGCACTTGTGAAGTTGGCTTAAAAGTTAGCATTTGGTGGCCAGTTTACTTGTGGCATTTGAATTTGTGAATCTTTCCTTCTCTCCCTTTCACAGGTTCACCTTCTTCATCAAGAAAAAGTGGAACCAGCTGTCCCTCCAGCAAAAACAGCAGCCCTAACAGCAGCCCACGGACTTTAGGGAGGAGCAAAGGGAGGCTCCGGCTACCCCAGATTGGCAGCAAAAATAAACTGTCGAGTAGTAAGGAGAACTTGGATGCCAGCAAAGAGAATGGGAGTGGGCAAGTTTGTGAGCTGGTTGATGCCTTGAGCCGAGGGCACATGCTGGGGGGCAGCCAACCTGAGCTGGTCACCCCTCAGGACCATGAAGTAGCTTTGGCCAATGGATTCGTTTATGAGCATGAGGCATGCAGCAATGGCTACAGCAATGGTCAGCTTGAAAATCACAGTGAAGAAGACAGCACTGATGACCAAAGAGAAGATATTCATGTGAAGCCTATTTATAATCTGTATGCAATTTCGGTAAGTGGTTTGTTGTGTGGTTTTCAGAATGATCTGCATTTTTCAGTGGCTTGTTCATTCATTCATCATTTTATCAGGGCCTATTTATTTGCTAGGCATTGAGCCTGGTGATAGACAAAGTTAGCAGTAGATATCTTGGCCTTTTGGTTAGAATCCACGATGTTCACAGTGTAATGCTGGGAATACTCATGTAATCATTATAACTGGAGTCACAGGTTCAAGTCATTCACAGGTGTGTGTTCCTAAGGAATTTTTACTTTCTAAAAAATAATTACAAGGGCTGGCCCCGTGGCGTAGTGGTTAAGTTTGGCATACTGTGCTTTGGCAGCCCAGGTTCTTGGGTTCAGATCCTAGGCACAGACCTGCACCACTTGTCAGCCATGCTGTGGTAGCAACCCACATATAAAGTGAAAGATGTTAGCTTAGGGCTAATCTTCCTCAAGCAGAAAAAGAGCAAGATTGGCAACAGATGTTAGTTCAAGGTTCATCTTCCTCAACAATCACAGCAAATTACAACTATAAAATGGTTAAATTTGGAGATTTGGAATTTTGCTTTTTGTTTTGTTTTTGGAAAAAGATAAATGATTCCAAAACATTCTTTCTTAATCTCCTAAGTGTTCAGTGTTTTCCTAATCAAATCCTAGTACTGTGCCCTGGCCAGGGATTTTCAACTACTAACATACCTCCACTTTCCCCGTCTTACAGTGCCATTCAGGAATTCTGGGCGGCGGCCATTACGTCACATATGCCAAAAACCCAAACAGCAAGTGGTACTGTTACAATGATAGCAGCTGTAAGGTAAATATCCCCAATATTTGAATAAAAGAGACAGAAATGTCAACAGATCTGGGGGACATTTGTTGAAATAATGGACTCTCTCCTGAATAGGAAATAGATATTTCTGCTAGAATCAGTATATAGATGCCTTCAGTATTAAAGGAACAAAAATGATATGCAGAGTAGAGAATGAAAACATGAGTAGTGAGGGAAAAAATGGGTATTGGTTACTGAGAAAAAGTTCTTGTCTTTTGAACCATTAGAATTTGATGAAGGGTTTTCTTTTTTTTTTTTTTTGGTCATTCTTTTGACTTGCCTATGGTCAGAGTATTTTCCCCAAAAACAAACAGTGAAAATAATGGGGCTTATTTTAGGGGCAGATATGAGGCAGCCAAAATATTAAGCTGATTGAAAGTAATCAGAATAGGTAGTTAAAGCGAATTGGTCCCCCCTTCCCTGGCAAGGAATAAGAGCCAGCTTAGTGATGACTTCTTTGTTAAAGACTTTTCTTGCCCCTTCAGGAACTTCACCCTGATGAAATTGACACCGACTCTGCCTACATCCTTTTCTATGAGCAGCAGGGGATAGACTATGCACAATTTCTGCCAAAGATCGATGGCAAAAAGATGGCAGACACAAGCAGCATGGATGAAGACTTTGAGTCCGATTACAAAAAGTACTGTGTGTTACAGTAAAGCTACCACTCTGGCTGCTAGACAGGCTGGTGGTGAGGGAGGTAACTCCCTGTAGCTGACATTTGGCAAAAGCATCGCTGAAAGGCAGGCTAAATGTAGTTATTTTATCCTGTGACCCTGAAGCACAAAATAAAAATCCTAATTAAAATAGCAGTTAACATAACAGTAGTAATAATTTTGTTTGGAAGTGTCTCACACAAGCTCTCTGGTAGAGAACTTTCAGGCAGAACCCACCTTTAGCCTGTAAACAAAAGGGTTTGGCACCGGCCACCTGGGACCAAATAAGAACTCAATTGTGCTTGTCCAGATATGAACAAACATGTAGTGAGTATAGAGTTATCAATAACCATAACAAAATACTAAGAATTTCCTTGGAGTCAAAGTAAAACAAAAAATTACAGTGTTGTCTGGGGACGACATGATATGCTACCTCCTTTTTCCTGAAGTTTTATTCCATTATATTGACAAGATGGAGAAAGCAAGATCATGAAGGTGTGCAAAGGATTCTTGTGGCACGGACACAGATTTTTCAGTTTATTTTTTAAACCATTTTCCCACTTTGTATGTCTTTCTTGCTCTTTGTTTTTGTTGTTTTTGCGTTTGAGACACACCCAGTCATTGGTGGCAGAGCCATGTATAGTGGTCAGTCTGAAAGAGAGAATCTCTTAAGAGCTGTGTGCCTTCTACCCAGGGCTTTAGTTGGGAGACCCTGTAGGAAAAAAAGCATCCTGGGAAATCCAGCTGAAATGGCCCTCCAGATGAGAGGCATCTTACTTTGAGGATACTTCAAGTGTCCTCAAACTCTATTCCCCTGCTGCTGAATGTGGTGGATTAGTTGCCAATATTTGCACCATCTTCACATGCGCATGTTGCACAAAGAGCTTATGAGAGGCAAAGTGACATCAAAGCTAGATGGTTTTCACTATTAGTGGTTGTTTTTTCTTTGTTTCTTTGTTTTGCACTTTATAAAAAGAGAATACATGCAAATGAACTTTTCAAAACTTATTCATATTTGATGGCTGTAAGGGTTGTAAATTAACTTGAATGGGTTATTTTCCCCCTTCATATTAAATTTAAAAACAAAACACATCCCAAACACTGATAATGTGTATTTTTAATGAAATTGGTGGTTTCAGGAAGTAAAATTTTGTTTTGTTTGCATGTCCATTTATTTTTCTTATTTTAGTGTTTGTCTTTTTTTTTTTTTAATTTCACAGTATTGGTCATCAAAAGTTATATTTCTTTGCTCACTTCATTTTTTCCTCCAATAATTCAAGACTGGAACAAAAATATAAATGTTATTTATTTCAGGCAGCATTTTATTTTTCTTGTATTGTTTTTAAATATATATTCAAAGTAAATATTTCACTTTTTTTAACTCTTTTTTATTCATCTGGACCCTGGAAGTTGATTCTCATTAATTGTCGGATTCCATTACCTTCCTTCCTCATTGATAGTTGGTCCCGATGTAATTAAGCATTTATGTTCTGATATCTGAGGGTGGTTACTATCCACTTCTTCTCAGAGCATTTGCAAAGGTTGTCTTAAGTGTGTAAGTTGAAACCCTATTCAGAAGAAGACTATAATTACAAGTAGGAAGGAGTAGCCTAAATGGTATAATGTGATGAAGTCAGACAAAATGCAGACTTTATAGTTTCATGGTTTTCAGTATATAAAATCTGTCCATTCCTACCTGGACAAGTCCCATGAAAAAGTGGAAGATTTTAAATAATTTCATTACAGATGTTTTATTTAAGCAGGTAGCACAATCTACTAATGTTGATTGATCTGTGTTTATTATATTGGTTGTAATTAATTTTTTTAATTCATGACTAGCAGGAAATTTATTAAATTAACTATTAACTACATTCACCTTGTAAATTAGTGTATAAAACTTGTTGACAATGCACTGACTCTAGAAAGATGTTGATGTACATAAATAAAGTGTAAATAAAATAGTGTTGATGTACTGAAATATGAACTGTATAAAAAAGTATTGGTAATTGTATATGGAGTGTACTTGTTTATCTGTAACTATTATCCAAACAAATTAAATACTGTGGATGCATCTATGTGCTGTTTTTCCTCTATACAAGTAAACACAAAAACAGTCAGATTCTTCAGCCTTTCTCTCCGTGATCCTGTTTTAATTCTCCTCCTTGAATAATGCCTGCCTGACTCATAGAGTGGATGCTCCATCTCGGAGAGAGTGGAGACTTTGTTGAAGGTAGAGCAAGATACCTGCAGGGACCAGGTGAATTGATTTAAACTTGGCTCACATTCCTGTTACTGGTGAACTGAGAATTGATGAATGAGGTCTTAACAATAGTTTTCATGCAGTTTAGGAGATAAGGTGAAGAAGAAGAAGACTTCTCATTTGTGTAATGTCTTGAAATGATCCTGGCTTTCTAGGAGCACTGAGAAATTCCAGATAGCGTGGTTTTCTCCAAGGAGGCAGGGGGTAGTGTTGAGTCAAAGATTTAGAGCTGTGGGCTCTTCACCCTCAATCCTTGTATTTTTACCTCTTTTTTGTGTGTGTGAGGAAGATTGTTGCTGAGCTAATATTAGTGCCAATCTTCCTCTGTTGTATGTGGGGTGCCACCACAGCGTGGCTTGATGAGTGGCGCTAGGTCTGCGCCCAGGATCCCAAACTGCAAAACCAGGGCCACTGAAGCAGAGGGCACAAACTCAACCACTACGCCACCAGGCCAGCCCTGCCCCTGTTTTTAAAGATTTTTAGGGCCGGCCCGGTAGTGCAGCAGTTAAGTTTGCATGTTCTGCTTCTCAGCAGCCCGAGGTTCACCAGTTCAGATCCCGGGTGTGGACCTGGCACCGCTTGGCAAGTCATACTGTGGTAGGCGTCCCACATAGAAAGTAGAGGAAGATGGGCATGGATGTTAACTCAGGACCAGTCTTCCTCAGCAAAAAGAGGATTGGCAGTAGTTAGCTCGGGGCTAATCTTCCTCAAAAAAAACCAAGATTTGTATTTTTCCTTTTTCTCCCCAAAGCCCCCCACTACATAGTTGTTTATTTTTAGTTGTGGGTCTAGGTGTGGTATGTGGGACGCTGCCTCAGCGTTGTTTGATGAGTGGTGTCATGTCCGCGGCCAGCATCCAAACTGGCGAAACCCTGGGCCGCTGAATCAGAGCGTGCAAACTTAACCATTGGCCATGGGGCTGGCCCCACCGCCCCTGGTTTTTGCCTTTAAAATTAGAATGCTTACCTCTCAGGCTTATATTAAGTAAATGAAGTATATAAATGCCTGGCACGGTTTCTTGTAAGTGCTCAATGAATGTGAAATTCTACCCCCATGAGATTCACTCCTGTTTTGCAAAGAGGTTTTATTACTCCCTTGCTCTTCTGACGTTACAAGAATTTAGTAGCTCTCTGCTCACATTCTCCAAAAACAGGAATACACGTTAAAAATGTATAGAATGAAACGTGTTGAATCAGCAGCAATGGTAGCGTGTTTAAGGAAACGAACAAACAGGAAAAGGATCCAAAAAGTCATCAAGATGAAGCATGACTTCTTAAGTGCCAGTGTCTCTGGGTTTTTAAAAGACAACCTTGAGGGGCCTGCCTGGTGGCATAGTGGTTAAGTTTGCGCACTCTGCTTCGGGGGCCTGGGGTTCGCAGATTCAGATCCTGGGCGTGGACTATGCACCCCTCATTAAGTCATGCTGTGGCAGTGTCCCACATACAAAGTGGAGGAAGATTGGCACAGATGTTAGTTCAGGGCCAGTCTTCCTCACACACACAAAAAAAGACAACCTTGAAAAGGACCAGCTTATAGAGATGGGCAAGCATTTTGTTTCTAGTTTCTGAATGACCCTGTAAATTGAGGGAGATCTTCAACCTCACAACCTCTCTGGCTGAGGGTGGCAATTCTACATGGAATCTCTCCATCACTTAGTGGCCTTGTTCACTGTGGGTTCTTTTCTTAGTTGCAGATACAATTGAATTGGAGTAAGTTGATGAATTGCCACATTTTCCCCAACTATTTTAAAGGCTGAATATAGAATTTTACTATGCCAGAGCCGAAATGTGTAGCTTAGAGAATAGAGATCCAAGTTTTCCTTGATAGTATACCAGCAGGTTCCTTAGTTTTGAAATCACAAAGTCAGAAATACATAGGGGCCGGCCCGGGGCTGAGTGGTTAAGTTTGTGCGCTCCGCTGCGGCGGCCCAGAGTTTCCCCGGTTCGGATGCTGGGCGCAGACATTGCACCGCTCATCAGGCCATGCTGAGGCAGCGTCCCACATGCCACAACTAGAAGGACCCACAACTAGAATATACAACTATGTACCAGGGGGCTTTCGGGAGAAAAAGGAAAAATAAAATCTTAAAAAAAAAAAAATTCACACACCCCTATGATCAGAGACCCATACAAGTAAGAGCAACAAAAAGAGGTTATCTTTAGGTTTGCCAAACTTTTTGAATAATGGGAAGCAAGATAGTAAATAAGAGGGCAAGACTTGCAAACTCGGAGAGCCTACAGGGACCAGGCTGGGAAGAAAATGTAAGAAAAGCAGGTCCAGCCGTGGATGAGAATGGGGAGTAGTGGGGACTGTGGTGAGTTCTGGGGCACGCATCCATCTTAAGGTTTCATTTGATTGTTGCCATGCAGGAATGTGGGCCCCAGTGTTAGTTTTTCCCCCCTAAAGAGAAGCCAGAAATCCAGATACTAATACCAGATACCCAATTTAGAAATGTTGGTGATTGATTTTTTAAAAACTTTAAACATTGTACTGTCCAAATAAAACCTATCTGTAAGCCAGATGCAAGCCACCAGTTTATGCCCTCTGATAAGTAGAAAGGTCATGGACTTTGAGCCCATTAAGTCAGAGGTCAGATCACCAGTATAACATAGCAATAATGTTGTGATCAAGTTCATTGCCAGTCTAGAGGCATACAGCTAACAACCTAGAGCACGTTCTAGGTGCAGAGCTCTGTGCTGAGTTCTCTGGGGACAGCAGTTCCCAACTTGGCAATTCATCAGCA